GCAAAGAAATAGACAGAAGCTGCAGACGGTGATTATATAAAGTACATTTATTACGCCAGCACTGTACAGTACTTGTACTTTACTGGAGTTTCCCCATTTCATGCTATTTTATACTTCCACTCCACTACATTTCAGAGGAAATTATCATAGTTTTTGCTCCATTACATTTATTTAACAGCTGTAGTTACTGTTATTTATTAAAAATTGTGTCAATGTCATTTTAGTCTATATTTGAGTCCTTTATCTTCCCAAAATATGTGAAAACATCCACCAGTGCAGTAACAATATTCTAGTATGTTTTCAATAAAAATCATTAAAAAATTATTCTACAATCAGGTCCCATTTTTCCTAATTCTATTGCAGCGACATGCCTGATTCTTAATTTTCTTATTAGAATAAGATCAGTTCAATCAGTTCTTTTGACAGATTCATTCATTTCTTCACTTGCTTTACGCAAATATGTATTTTTGAGGAGCCAGTTATAGCCAGAATAGATTTTTTGTAAAATTGGGGCTTTCACAGACTGAACTGCCCAATATATAAAGTTTGATTTTTTTATTTGTTGTCTTATGAAGACAAATCCGTGGTAACCACACACAGACATACGCTCTGTCAGAGAGTCTAATCACAGCAAAACAGACACAGGTCAAACCAGCCACTGTTGCATTAGGTTCACTAAGTTCCAGGTGACAACGTGTATGTGAAAGGAGTCGTTCACAGCGCTGAAACCACAGACATTTATCAGCTGCCTCTGCAGCTGTGTGAGCTTCTTAACCTCTTTACCTTGTACTGGTGTGGTTTTACACAAGGCTATGTATTTACTCAGTATCTTCACTAACAGTAAAACTCGGATAAAACCACTATACGCCACCAGTTAAGCACCATGTGGACAGATGTTAGTGGTTAGCTGCTGATAAAAGTTGAACATTTAGCAACTAAAGAGCCAGATATTTCCCTCCAGAGACCAAAACAGAGCTAAATATGGAGTGAATATTAGTCAGATGGACACAAACATAAATCCAAATGAATGATAATGTTGCTCCGTATCTGATCTTTAGCCACAAACTTTAGCCACAAGTTTAAGCTGTGTAGCTCGTTTTAGCTTGTTTTGAGATAATTCTGCCCCCAAGTGGCCAAAATCAATTGATGCAGCTGTAACATTACTCCAACGTGACATCTCACGTCATCATGAACTATTTGATCCACTAAATGTCTTGTTACTGAATATTTCACACGATTCTAAAAGTGTTGAACAAGAATAGAGGAAGTAGATTTTTGATATTTAACCGTCTCTTCTCTTCAGTTCCTGCCACTCCAGAGATCCAGGTCTCAGAGTGCCAGGTGTGCGACAACACCGTGACTGTAGTGTGGAGCCTACCAGAGCCTGACAGCAAGATAGACCACTACATCCTGGAGCACCGACGCACGAACCACGAGGGCCCGCCGCGCATCAGAGAGGACTACCCCTGGATGGTGGTGGAGGGGATTAAAGAGCTGGAGCACACACTCACGGGTAGGAGGAGGACTGTGAGGAGATATTTGTTGTCTGAACTTGAAGAAGAAGCTGACTCATAAAGGGATCCTTCCTGTGGTTTTATTCTCAGGTCTGCGCTTTGACACCCGGTACTTGACATTCAGAGTGAGAGCGTGTAACAAGGCCGTGGCAGGAGAGTTCTCTGAGCCCGTCACACTAGAAACCCACGGTGAGAACACTGGACGCAAACTCAGGCTGGATTGTTGCAAGAGAAGTCTGTGGGTTCTGGGAATGTGAATTTTGGATTGTCAAAGTGTGTTAAAGTTCCAGTGTGTAACATTTAGGAGGATCTACTGGCAGAAATGGGATATAATATTCATCGGTATGTTTTAATTAGTGTATAATCACCTGATAATAAGAATTTAGAAGTTTTCATTAACTCAGAATGAGCCGCTTTATCTACAGAGGAACGGGTCCTCTTTTACGGAGTCCCCCTTATTGAACCGCCATGTTTATACAGTAGCCCAGAACAGTTTCTCCATTACGCTTGCAGGCACTCAGCTAGATGCCACTAAATCCTGCACACTGGTCCTTTAATAAAAAGTCTTTCTCATGTTCCATTCGCAGCCTTCAACTTCAAACTGGACGCTGCTTCGTCCCACCAAAACTTGAAGGTGGAGGACTTGAGTGTGGAGTGGGACAGCACTGGAGGAAAGATACAGGACATCCGCAAGGAAAAGAACCGAACCAACTCCCCGATGCACTCTCCAGCCAGGTTTGTATGAATGTAAACTCAAGCGTCTTTAACCTGGGCTTTGACTTTTAATTCATTAAGAATAAATCTCATAAATGTGGATCTTTGTCCACCGGCTGTGATCAGGTCAGCCCTGATGTCACCTAAGAGAGCGCCAACAGCTCGGCCCGGCAGAGACAGATTTACAGCAGAGTCCTACACAGTTCTGGGTAAGAATACACACAAAAAACAAACACAACAAATGTATTTCTACATCTCTAGCAGTAAAACACACCTAAAGTTACGGCTGTACAGTTATTTGAAATCTAGCTGCTCTGGAAAAAGTTCAAAGACTCTCCTGCGAAACTGTCAATACCAATAACTTCAGAAGTTTCCAGTTGTATCATATGAGGTCATATCAAATGTTACGTAACCGTAGCGCTCAATCTACCCTAATACTGACACGCTTCTCGACCATGAAACGACGCACTGCAGCTCGTGTTGACACTGTAACTCTAGACATTTATCATGTGGGGTCATGTCTCATGACAGCTGACACCATGATCGACGCTGGCCATCAGTACTGGGAGGTGCGGTTTGACAAGGAGAGCAAAGCCTTCGCTGTGGGTGTCGCCCTGCGGAGCCTCGGACGATTCGACCAGTTGGGGAAAAGCAGCGCTTCCTGGTGCATCCACCTGAACAACTGGCTGCAGCAGAGCCTCACAGCCAAGCACAACAACAAGGCTCGGACACTGGACTGTCCCATCCCAAACAGTATAGGAGTCTACGTCAACTATGACGAAGGTGCGATAAATACTGGGAATTTCTCCTCCACAAAATAAACACTGATGTGAAAAATATGTTGCAAATGATCAGGTTACATTTAGAACTGAGAGGTTTTTTATTGTCTATATACAGTGGCAATTATCTGTTTAGTGAGTCTGTATAAAATAGTACTTTTTAATGTTTTTATAGAATTAATCAATAGACAGAAATTAAACAATTTGTAAACTAATTTATTCTAAACAATGTGTTTTTAAATAGTACATATGTGTGATTTGCCATCTTTATTCTCTACAGGTGTACTGTCTTTCTACAACGCCAAAACTAAGCAGCTGATGCACACTTTCAAAACCAAGTTCCAGCAGCCAGTTATACCAGCTTTTATGGTGAGAAAAGCTTTTAAATATATCCCTTATCCAGAACAATCCTCCATTGTTGTTTTTGAGTTTTAAAACTGCCTGTCTTTATGTCGCCACCTGCAGGTGTGGAACGGCAGTTTTTCGGTAGTGACGGGCCTGCAGGTTCCCAGCGTGGTGCAGAGCGGCCAGAGGAAGAACAGTGGCACCAGCAGCTCCAACGCCAGCCTCACCTAGACCCATCCATTCAGCCAGCCGGACGCCGCACAGCTCCGCTCGACCACAGTCACCGCCAGAGAACCTGGCTGCGGTCAAAGCCATATCATGGAAGAGTTACATCACTGGAAGATGATGGTTTAGCCTGTTCCACATACAGTGTCTGTGTTGCATGACGACAAAGATGGTTCTGGGAACAAGTGAGTCATCTGCACCGTCAGTGACAGAATTCTTCAGATGTATGACTCTGGCTGTTGTGATTGCTTGGGACACGTTCGCTGTAGTCTTACTAGTTTTCCTCTACACGTTCATTTAGCACTGTCCCACTGCTGCTAGAGCAATGATTTAGCGCTGGCCGCTGCCCTTCCTTTCCTTTCCATCACCAAAACTGTCAGTCGTACTGTCAATGCAGCCAGCTGCAGGTGCAGGGTCAAGGCCTGTCCTGTCTGCTCTCTCCCTGTGCCTTCCTCCTCATTTCCAAACTGATAGGCCAAATCGGGTCATCTGTACCAACATGCTAATATTTCACTGCAAGAAATGGTCTCCCTATTTCAAGTTAATACCAACACATTGTGTCAGTGTCAATATAACCTGGTTGTGACTTAGCTTAGTGGTAATTATCAGCCTCTTCCCATCAACCAACCCAAATAACAACCTGCTCCTAGACAACGCTACTGAATAGAATACAGTTCATTACTCAATCAGGATTTATTCAACTCTGCTTTGACTGAGCAACTTATAGATCATAAGAAATTACCAACTCGTATTAGGGATGTTGTATTTATTTCTTGCCAAGGCATGCAGACTTAACAGTGTTTACTGAATTTCACTCTTTGTGATCAGGTCTCACACTTTGCGTGCAAGAAACTGGGTCCTTTAGCCTCCTGCTGAGGTCCTGTTTTGGTTTTAATTAGTTAGCGTTGGCTGTGGAGTTTGATCATAATGACAGCCAGACTCTGCACAGAAAGTTAGCGGGGAGTTTTATCAGTGTAACTCCATGTAGTAATCAGATATGGCTTCAGGTTTTTGGAAATGATTGTACTGTTTACGTTCTGTTCACCTGATTGCACCCTAATGCTTGTATGTACAGTATGTATGTGTCTATACCTAATAACACCGCTTTATTTGCTGAAGAGGAGTCCCATTTATGAGTAGTGGACTGTCTGTGGTCCAGATATAACAAATAGCTAGCAAGTAGCCTCAGCTAACAAATTGCATTATGAGAGTTAGCCGGGTTTGAGGTACATGTAGGCGAGAAACAAAAGTGATAAACTCTGGAAACTGATGTTATAAAATCCTTATTTGTGCACCGCCTGACCTCTGAGTAGCGTCCATGTCACACGTTCCACATGGTAACAGTCTCGCTTTGCCATGTTGCTCCTTCTGTATGCATCTCCTGAATAACTGTAGTCTGCAATGCTTTAAAGAAGCGTACAGCTAAGAATTATGTTAACTTTTATTTCACAGGCTGACATAATGTCACAATTTATTGTAAATAGTTTTAATTTTTCCACTATACTGTATCAGTCATTGAGGTAATAAAGGAGTGAGAGCACTTTGGTCTTGGATTTCTGCTTCAACAAAAAATTAAAGGGCAAGAACAAAAAAGAGGTTTAACACAGGAATACAGACCAGGTACAGAACATCATAAAACTGATTGATTTCTAACTGCTGCATGGCACATACTGGTTGCTTGTGCATATGTATCTGATTGGATGTGACGGTAGCAAATGTTTCCTTCACTACAGTATATAAAATACATTCACATACAGTAGGTACAGTAACCACAAGCCAATTCAATGGTGTACAATATGTATAAACATCACACGCCTGTAAGGCAGAATAAATATAGCCATCTAGGCTATGTAAAAAACATACAATACAACTCAACAGCTGATTACAGTAAAAGTAGTCACAAACACTGATACAGAAGATCTGATACAATCTAAGTAGGAAAATGTACACCAGTGTCAATGGCAAATGTGCAAAATGTACAAGAGAAACACAGTGAAGATAATGTGACATGTACACCCCTCGTTACAGTCGATTCATTTGCTAATGAGTGCCTGAGAGGGGTGAATCAATAGAGTGTTAATCTTCGGAGAGGCTTTGCTGCTGACAGCCAGCTGACGAGGAGGAGCAGAGCCACGATGCAGACGGGGAAGAGGCGGTCTGTGTGGAAACCGCTGCTCTCTTCCCGCTCCCACGTGTTGGTTCATGTTGCAGGGACAAACTGAGTGGCTCTGCACTGCTGTTGAGTCACAGATGCTTTGAGAGGATCCAACCAGGAGAGGTCACTCTTGACTCCTTGCCTTTTGTTCCAACTTGAGTTTCAGCTCAGACAGCGTTGCGATAGGGACTGAAACATACAAGACAGTAAGTTTGGATATTATGACAAGAAGGTAGTACAAAACTGAAAATATATGTATAAATAAATTATTATCTAAAGCGGGTAAAGGCCTCCAGGTCAGGGTGGACTTACTCTGTCCCTGACAGTCAGATAAGGCTCTCAACCTCGGGTCGCTGTTCATGGAGGAGGTAGAAGAGGGGGGTGATACAAAGGAGGCCCCTTTGCGAGGAGCAGGAGTTGGAGGCATAATTGCTTTCTTTGGAGCATTTTTCTCCGGCTCTATGGAAGACCAAAAACACACAATGATTCACGGTCATAAAAAGATAAGTAATGATTGCAGTCATGACGCAGGTAAATGAAAAATACTCCTGAGATTGACGGATAAGAGGAGGGACTTACGTGGCAGTGGAGCAGCTGGGGAATCCTTTGTCTTTTTGTCTTTCCCGTCAACTGTTTGAACACAGACTTAAGTTAGAAATAGCAATGGAAAAAATGAAGTCACACCTGTTTATGTCTGCAAGACAGAAGAACAAATGGCAGGAATGGGTTGATTGGTGGGGGTTGGTGTCAGAAGAGTTATACTCACACTTGTCATTCATATACTCAGGCTCTTCTATAAATGGTTCTGCCTCTGGTTCAGGAGTCGGTATTCTTAGAGCTACTGCAAAACAAAAGATGTAATTATAATTATTACAGGGTTGATATATTGTAAGATTATTGACCAAGGTGAGCAACAACTCCTGTCACAGTACCCTTGAGAAATCACCTGAACACCAACCGACAGCGGGCGATATAGACGCCGGTTGAATGCAGGTTTTGAAAACAAACATGTACGTTCGGTCAAATAAAGGTTAACATGATGTCTGGTCACTGCTTTCTTTCTGACAAAAAGTTCTCAACAACTATTTGATGGATTTCCACATTCTGTACAGACTTCAATGGTCCACAGAGGACAAACTGACTTTGGTGATCCTATGACTTTTCCTCTAGTGCCACCATGAGATTCATGTCAGAGTTGTTATAGTTAAAGGCAAAAAGCCCCAAAAATATATATACACGTGTAAAAATAGACACACATAGACAGACATTCACGTGTCCCGCAGGATGATTTGAAAAACAGGTAAAAACTTTCATCATTTGACCAATACTTTGGTTTGTGACCAAACACCTGCAAGACATTCCCACCAGTCTCAGCTGTACGTGTTCAGTGCTAATTAGCAAATATTAGCATTCTAAGAGGCTAAACTAAGATGGTGAACAATGTAACATTATACTTGCTACACATCAGCATGGAAGCACCGTCATTATGAGCATGTTAGCACGAGTGGTTTTCAACCTGGGGGTCAAGACCACAACATACGGGCGCCACACAAATCTGAGGGGTCACTAAATGATTAAGAAGATAGGGAAGAAGAAAAACATAAATCTGCTACACCAAGTTTAATTTTTCAAACTTAGCTGTAATATTTGCTGTTTTCTTTTGAATTACTAGATAATTTAACTTTTAATAATTACTCAGTCATTCTTTGGTTCAACTACCCACAACCAGTACACAATGCAACCTGTGAAAGAGGGTCTGAAGCAGACATTGTTTTAAGGGGTCATAAGCTAAAAAGAGTTACAAAGTCAACAGCGAAAAAAAAAACTGCAGAGGAATTTCTACCTGCTGCACAAAGGTTCTAAAACAAACAAACCTTGAGTGATCGGGTGGGTGGAGGTAAGAGGACGACAGGACGACTTCAGTGTAACCACCTTCTTATAAAAACCTTTTATCATGCTAATGTTTTTGAGTTTGAATTCTTATGCACACCCATTGGTAACAAGTGAATTAACCAACCATAAAAAGACGATTATACAACATTTTATTTATTTGTTTCGGTAATTATGGTTCAAGTGGGTTTCATTTTGATATAAACAATCAACTAAAAAGTACTCTCTTGTGTCATGTGATTCAGAAAAAGCCCAAGTATAAACCACACTGTCAGAGAGGAGGAATTTCCAAATACCTGCATGAGTCACAGTGCCCGAGCAAACAGGTCGGGCAAACAGTGTAAGTAGTTTAGTTGTTGACGTGTGTGTGTTCATGTTATGTGTGTTTTTGTATTAATGGACACAGTACCTGGTTTGGGGGGTGCAGTTGGTGGGACACGGTTTGATGAGGCCTGCTGAACGCTCTTCTCTCCATTTTCATTGTCCGACCGAATATAAGCTGTAAAAAAAAAATCCAGAATACCTTTTGATAAAATGTTTGGTGGATGGAAAAATGTGAGCTTACTTAAATAAGAACTGAGCAAATGAAAGGCTAAAAGAGAGAAGGAAAAAGAGTGAAAGAGAGAGTGAGATGAAAAGGGTTTTGTACGTACAGATGTTTTTTTCATATGCCTCTTCAATGATGAGAGGAATCAAAACTCTGTCAGTATTTTCAACTAAATAGTTGATCACATCATGTAGAGTGGGACAGAGAACCTGCACAGAGAAGAGCTTCTTTTTACAATTAAAGAACAATAAACCGCATACAGGAAATAAAATGGCTCGTGGTTGTACATAAGACTTGACTCCACCACAATAACCACAATAACCACAATTAAGCTTTATTCCTGTAATTACATCTCATTACTGCTGAGCAGGAAACCATGTTGAACTTTGTCAATGACCTGCATGCATCACTTTATCGCAACATGCAACTAACAGCTGAATTAAAGTCTTATTCAACATTAGAATTATATTTATTGCCACCTCTGTTTTTACCAGTAACCCTGTGCTACAGTTAATCGGTTCATCTCTCTCACCTTAGCAATAAAATACTCCAGCTATTAAGTACAACTGGTTCTTTCTTACTTAAAGATATAACATGAAACATTTCTGCATTCAAATGTCTATAAACATTACACCTATATTATATATTTTGTTGAGTTGTGTACTTTGATTATCCCAAATGTTTCCAACAATGTTCAAACTCAGGGAAATGTGTAATTTAATTTAGGTACCCCTGCGTTTCACCAGTTGCCTGTCAGTGGCGTCATATCCTTTGCACATGTGTCAGCGTTATGGTTATCTGCCAGAAGCTGTCATAAATTGACTTTTTATCCACATTGTTACGATACACTTTTTAGATCTTGGTTGTTTTTAACTATATATTTTAAACGAATGAAGGATTTTAGTCATCAGGTGTCCGGAAATTAACTTATCAGAGAAACAAGCTGATGAGCAGCAGAAGCTGACTGCAATGACGGCAAATACAACGACAACAACTCCCATGATCGCTACTACTTTTGTATGTTTTGATGTGAGAGACTCCCTAGTGGCAGAAATGACATATTGTACGTTAATATAGACCGTATTTTTTTAATACTCACTGGATTGTCCACATCAATGGCAAAGCCCCCGTCATGTTTACGAGTCACACGGTAGTGTCTGAATACAGGGCTGATAGAGAAAGAGAGAGGGAGGCAATCAAAACACAAATTAACAAATTATGAATTGTCCAAGATGACATGCAACAACACTTTTTTTTTTTAAATTGTATATATATATATATATATATATATATAGATAGATAGATAGATAGATAGATAGATAGATAGATATTGTGATACATATGTACGCCTGTGTATTAGATCTGTGTGTGTGTGAGGTGTGTGTGTGTGTGTGTGTGTGTGAGTGTGTGTGTGAGTTAGTGAGTGTGTGTACCCGTCTAGGTCCTGTCTGGTGGTGACAGCGAAGGAGTTTCCGCCACTTCCAGGCCTCAGCAGCAGGTTTCCTTTCTTGGCCTCTCTCTCAAGCAGCAGCTCGGCCTCCAGACGGGACACATTGTGGTAACAACTGCAGGATGCCAGAAAACACAGAGATGAGACAAAAAGAAAAACTGATTTTGTATATACAGTAGTTACGTACGGTGTATTTCTGCCTTTTGAGCAGAGCATGTTACAACAAGAGGAGAAAGTCTTTGAGATTCAAGACAGTGTTAATGAATGCTGACACCAAACATACATCAGTCTGCTGCATCTTTTTTAGATAGTTGAGTGGGGTTTTAGGTGTTAGACATGTATGAAGATACATATGCTGGACAGCACTGCTATGCAAACCAGGTTGGAAATTTGGCAAAACCACTGAAAAAAAATCACATATTTTTATAGGAAAACAAAGTTGAACTGGGTTGCTTTTTTCCAATATGCTTCAAGATGAGGATACATAATGACTTTTTTGTCCAGGATTCTGTTAATACTGTAGCGCTTTACCTATTAAGGAGACCAGAAAATCATTAAATAGCCCCAGCTGTAGCCCCAATCACCAGTATTTCACTTGAGCGTGTGTGTCAATACTTTTGAGCCTTGTCAATACTCACGCTGGCATTTCTGATTGGAGGCGGATGTAAGGACTGGAGTTGGTGGGAACAGGTGGAGGGACACCAGGAGTTTGTATTCTTTCCTTTTCCTTTTCTATGGCCTCTTTTAGCATGCGGATCTGGCCTGGTAGCAGGTTGGCGATGGATGGTATCGACAGCTGCAGGGAGACACACAGTTTCTGTTTTAAATGATCTGTGTAAATGAGAGCCTCATGTGAACTACCGCTTAAACATCAGTCTCTCAAACCTACATCATGTAAAACACTTTTAAGATGCAAATGTTTATTATTGAGCTAAATGTTGTGCACCACAGACCTCAGCCACAGATTGAATGAAGCCCTTCCACAGCTCACGAGCCTCTGCATTAGGAACCTGTAGAGACAACGGAGGAGAGAAAAACTGTGAAAACAGGAGATTACTATCAAAAAAAGAGGATGATTTACATATTTTCTATATATTCCCTCACAGTGAATTTGATATTTCCATCCTTCATCTGCAAGTTGAATCTGGCTGCATCTAAGTTACGATCCTGGCTGCTGTCATCCGTTATCGAGATGAATCCACTGAGATCCAGTTTCTCTATGTACTGATGAAACACACACACACACACACACACACACACACATAAGTTGGCTTTATTAAGAACAATTATGTTTCTTACATTAACCCAAATCTGCATGAATACTTACATCAGTGTCTCTCTTTTCATTGAAGAAGAACAGCGTGTTTCCACATAGGCAGGTCCACAGTTTCCGAGATGTCTGCAAACACAAACACGCACACAGACAGAAAGAGAGAGAGAGAGAGAGAGAGAGAGAGAGAGAGAGAGAGAGAGAGAGAGAGACATGCTGAATAAAAGATATCATACCAAGCAAGTAGAAAATGAAGAGGGAAATCAAAGAAGAACACAGAGGTGTAATGCGGGAAAATGAATGCTTGTTACACAACAAGGAAATAAATTGGGCAGCTGTAGTCTGTGCAGGTGACATTCCTGGATTGAGACTGGATGAGTCAAGCATTTGAATCACAGCAGAAACTAATGTGTGATATTAATAACATTGTTGGGAATCAGATATATGGGAATGTGTCACTGGATTAATTTGTGTGTACGTTTTGAGGAACTGCATGAGTCACTATTATCTGCCATCCCCAACGCAGTGCGTTATATTGGGACATTTGTGTCTTTGTGTAAAAAGTTTCCCCTATGCTCTTACGTGCTGCCATTAGAGTGTGAACGGTCTCTTATCAGCGAGGGCTGGGCAGAACAGCACACAGGATTTATTGTCTGCCTGAAGCCTGGCTCTCTAGTTTGCGTCTTTGGTTTCCTGTCAGTTCTTGGTGTGCTCTAATCTTTATGGCACAATAAGCAGAGCAGCAGTCAGACCAGTTCGAGAGACGCAGGTTCTGCTGGAAAACTCAAAGTCCAAAGAATTTACAAGAAACTATATAATGACAGATAGGCTGCTCCGCCCACTGAGAGCAACACCAACCCTGTGCATTAAGTGTGCTAGACCACTGTACTGTCTTACATATTCATCAAACAGCTGCTAAAGATTAAAGATGACAGGTGTTATTAAAATCCTTGGCAGCTTCTGCACATTGTTGAGGTGCCATTATTCTTGTTTGTTTCTCTCTTTCACACACACACACACACACACACACACACACACACACCTGACCTATTTTAAATATACACTATGTGGTCATTTACAGCTGAAACAATTAGCTGATTAATCGATTAGTTAAAAGAAGAAACACTGGCAACTATTTTGACAGACAACGAATCCAATCATTTTAATTTCCAATGCTTTGTACTAAATATCTTTTAAGTTTTTTCAGTGTTGGTCAGACAAAACAAGCAATCTGTAGACGGCATTTTGGGCTTGAGGATATTATTTATGCAAACAATGTTTAATTGAAAAAATATTAGATTATTATTAATAGATTATTTGACAATTAAAATAATAATAATATACTAATAATTGTTAGATGCAGCCCATACAGTCAATAAACCGTATAATCTTTTGGCAATAACATCTCTTTCATGCTCAGCATCCAGTCTTAGTCGTTAATCGTGTCATGTTGTTGTCTTAAAACGTCTCTTCTAGTGAAAGTTGTTTTCTCTATTTCTGTGATAATAAATGAGCTAAAAGAACCACAGACAAACAACAGACACAAGAATATAAAAATCTTAATAATGCGCTTTTTGCCGTCCATGTCACCTGTTACAGACAGAAATGTCTCTAATGAGTTACCTTATCTTTGAACGACCTCTTCTCCAGGTATCCCTCATAGTAACACGTTGGCAGCTGGTTCCTCTCTCTCGCTGCTCGCATTGCCATCCCGAGGACTGTAGGTAGCCTACTTCAATAAATCAGACTATTTACACGTTTCCCTGAGACTATGAAGTATTTGTTTCCTCTAACATATCAGCAGCTTCTGCTTGGTCGTACTAAGGCTCGGTTTTAACCTACCCGTCACTAAGTTGAGAAGCGGCAGCGTCCTCGAAGCTGATTGGTCAGTGTGTGTGCAGTGGGCGGGTGTTTTTAAACATACAGGGGACACAGGCAGAAACCACCTGCCTGAAGGCCTCAGTGAAACTAATATTACTTCAACTGGCAAAACAAGCTCATCTGAAAATGAGACTGGTTGCTGGAATAGACTGAACAGCATGTGCACATGTTCATTCTCCATTAAGAAAAATGTGTCCTACTTGTCAACTTTTGGTCTGTGGACACCACTGACAGTATATATAACTATATACACTAGGCTATATATATATGTATACTATATAGTGTATATATTTGGACACCCAAAGGCTAGAAATGTGACAGCTAAGCAGCAGAGTTTGACACTAGAAGAAATTTTTTCACATTCATCTGCTGAAAGTGGAAGGTTTCTCTGTGCTCACACTCAAAGTGTGACGTAGAAACTTGAATCCACCAGTGCACAAACACTGAGAGTGGACTTTACAGTGAAAACTTTACAAACAAACTGAATTTTCATATTTTATCAGACACACATTATTGTATTATGTTTTAATACAGGACTTTAGGCAGCTAAAATGGGCTCTGTCGTTTTTACATTTTAATTATACTATTAGGTTATTATTGATTCAGATGCATTTTTAATTTTGAATCAGCTGCAGTAGATGTAATTTATACTATTGGGTGGTTTAATTTACTATATAACAATGCATTGTATTTTATATGCTTAAAATCTTCATCTGCAAAATAGTAACTACAGGTGGCTGAATCAATGTAGTGTAAATAATAATAAATATTTCTCTCTGAAATGTAGTGGAGTAGTATAAAAGGAAAACACTCAAGTAAAGTACAAGTAATTCAGAATTGTACTTGAGTAAATGTACTTTTGCTTTCCCCCACTGCAGCATAGAAATTAAACTTGTTGCACCTTAAAAACACACAATTTGACTTTTCATTCCCATACACAGCTATCAGCCCAAGCCCGGCCAAAAAAGAATAAACAAACGAGCAGTAAATGGTCTCTTATCTAAAGTACGATATCAAGTCCTATTGCACTGTGTTGTAGTCTAAACTCTAACTGCTGAGTAATGTAGTTATATCGAGCCTGTAGTTGAGCTGCAGAATGAGGATCTATGGTTCACTACATTTATACAAGTGCATCATGCAAACAAATACATTTACTCAAGTACTGAAGTACAAATTTAAGGTTTGTACTTTACTTCTACTTCTACTTTATTTCAGTTCAGAGGGAAATATTGTACTGTTTACTACAATCATTGACATTAATCCACTACATCTGACAGCAATTAGTCTGTTAATCAATTAGAAAATAATTGGTAACTATTTTGATTATTGTTTGGATTTCCTGCTTTTTCCCTTTATTTATTTATTTTTAATTTTTTTGAGGTTAGGACTATTGATTGGACAAAACCAGCATTTCTTGCTATTTCAGAATTTCTACAAAATAAAAAAACCTATCAAAATAGTTAAAAATGAACCTGCTTTTACATAAAGCATGATTAATAATAATCTAATGATACAATTTATAACAGTATAACAGTAACAGTAGACATTTTGCATTCTGCATTGAGCACATTTTATTTGTAATACTGTACTTCAAGTACATTTCATTGATTATACTTTTACTTAAGTAACATTTTCAATGCAGGACTTCTACTGTATTTCCTCCAGTATTTTGACAGAGATGAGAGAGATGACGGCTCCCTCTGCTGGCTCCTAGGAAGAGTCTCACTATCAGTTTACTGCTAACTCATACAGTCTAATGCAACAGTCTGATAGATCCTACCTACATGAAGGTTATAATGCTCAGTGTTGTTTTAAAGACTCTTTCAGATTGGTGCTGATTCAGCTCATCTTAGCTTCATATCTGAGACTGTTGAATTGCCTTGTACTGAGAGGTGTCCAGCCCATTTATATCAATGAGGATATAAATCGTTTCTGGTTTCATCATTCCAATCAATTTTTTTTCTTTGGTTGCCTGAATACAAACAGTAGTCTGTGTACCAGTAAATATATCAGTGTCTATGCATCAAATTACTTTCAATAGATTGTGGAGAACAAAAGATATGTTCTTGTGCGGAGCATCCAATCTGTCTAAATGTTTCTTTTTAATTCCACAGACTTCTACTGCGCAGTGGTCCCTGATGTTATTGTGTAACTGTCTATCTTCAACCATCACTCTTAGCTCTGACAGAGACAGGTAACTTAAACATTTATAACAAAGCAATGCAAGAAACATTAGCATCATTGGAAGTGCCTGGAGAGAAACTGAGAGAGTGGGCTCAACTGTGTTTACTTTACTGACTCTCAGCCATGACATGTTAGTTTTATACTGGAAAATATACTATAAACTATAAGACAATAGAAATAAAGTTCGACCAAAAAAATCCTGACACAAGGTCCACCTGCTAGCTGTTTTCTATCTCTTTCTATCACATGGCTTTATTACTTGATGTGGTTTGCTCGGTTGCCATGGAGACGGATTTGTTGACAAACTCTTATTTCATCCAAAGCAGTTTTAGGATTTCTCGTCTGCGTTGGCTTAAAAGTTAAGCATGAAAGTTCATTATTGGCCCTGGAACCTGTAGTTTATTATATATATATATATATATATATATATATAATTACATAGTTCTTATTACGGCTTATAAATATTGTGTTGGAGTCTCTAGGTAAAGTTATATAGAATGACATAAAATAAAGAACTCTATCTATTGTGATAGATAGATACATTACACATTACCCTAGCCTCCCTGTCTTACTTTATACAAGCATAAAGGTATGATAACGATGTTTAATTGATCAGCTGAAGCTTCATACCTCACATACATGGGTCACGTGTTGGCGCTGGCAGCGGCTCCGCTCTTCCTGCGCAGTGTCACTGTGCGCATTGTCTTCTGTCACCCTGGCACAGCACCCTGGTCAGAGCAGGGAGAGTATCTTCTGTAGTCACCGCAATCTCAGAAAGGTGATAGCACCAAAACAATGGGCAACAGAGACGACGAATACGACTTCTTGTTCAAAGGTAAGCTGAACCTGCTGCCCACAGATAACGCTGTTACCGGAGCGTAGGTTAACGTCAGTGGTTTAATATCAGCTGGTGATGGCAGCTAACGGTTGCTACCATTAGCCAAACTGGTTTCTTCGCTGGCGTGTTTTCACACTCATCATTTCTAAATAACCTCACGTTTACTTTTACCTTGAGAGGTGTTACCGCTTCTATTTCAGTTTGTTTACTATAAATTACTTGTTTTGCTATATGTATTTTATAAAAAAAAAAAAAAAAAGTAGGGCGTGTGGTGAGTTAGCCCTGCAAGCTAACGTTAGTAGCGGGTCTAACGGGTGGAGCGATTGCGTTCACAGTAATGAAAACTTTATTGTCAAAGAAGAGAAGTTGTTCTTGCCCCAAAACCACACTTTAAAACGCAACTATCCATAGAGCAGCACCAACAGTCTGTCTAATGAAAATAAATAAAAACTGAATGGAAAAAGAAACAAGCGGTCCCTTTGTGGTAGACTTATCGTACAGCTGTCTAAAGCGAGGAGGACACACACTCCACTATGAAACCAATGAAGAGGAAACACTGCAAGGGCTTTGTTTTTATGTTAGGTAACCGCTCCAGGTACACTGGTATCCCCCCTAACCTCAGCTTTGATGGGTAAGGGCATATTTCCATACCAAGCAAGCATAGATTTGACCTGACTGGACCACTGAGTCACTGGTCACATGGTCCTTTTACACCTCAGCGCTCAGTTTCCTGATAATATGTCGATGACCGTGCATGTCTTTATCAAAGTGGCATTTTTCTGAATAAGAATCTGCTTATTATTGTGTTGTTATGTTGACGCACTCTGCTGCAACCTGAATCACATGATGGCGCTTTAATTAAGTTATACTGTTAGTGTAAGTTAATGTGCAGGATCTCAAAAGATGAGAAACTATTGCTTTCAGCTTGTAGAGGTTACTAACCATCAGATAGACCAGTCACTGCACATGCTTTATGTAATGCCAAAGACTGGTTTGCATTCAAGCTTTAGTAAGATGAAGTATTTAAAAGCAGAGGGTTTTCGTTTGCATTTCCCGTCCAGTGTCATATCGTTGACTGAAGTTTGGATGCAGGGATTTGAATGACTAGGGAGTGAACTGAAGAGGAAGGGGAAACGTGCTTTATCACACCTATCTAGTAAATATTGTATTACAGTACAGTAGAAAACGAGGCCCAGGTCTAGTTTGTCAGCCTGGAAATACTGATGACTCGTAACAATAGACAGGAACAGAGGCCTTGAGAAACTGTCGAGTCAGATTTCCCAGAGAGCAGTTTTTTTTGTCAGCTTTTTCCTGCTTGACTCCCAGCAGGCCAAAGTCTGATGAGGCTTTCACTGTACAGAAAGAAGAAAACAAGTCAGCGCTTTCACTTAGCCTGACACTGGCCATGAGTGAATGATAAACCTGACTATAGTGCGTTCTTGAATGACATTTGTTTAGTACCATAACTGTCGCTATCAATGTTTGCCGTTCTGCAGTAATGTTTTGCTTTTGGTTGCAGTTGTGCTAATCGGAGACTCTGGAGTGGGGAAGAGTAACCTGCTGTCCCGTTTCACGAGAAATGAGTTCAACCTGGAGAGCAAGAGCACCATTGGGGTGGAGTTCGCCACCCGCAGCATCCAGGTGGACGGCAAGACGATAAAGGCCCAAATTTGGGACACAGCTGGACAGGAACGCTACAGAGCTATCACCTCAGCGTGAGTATTTTCAACAAACTAGTGATGCAAATATGGCCCTGAAATAAAGACAGTGCAGTTATTGTATTCATCTGGTTTATGCCGTCGCCAGGTATTACCGGGGTGCTGTTGGGGCTCTCCTTGTTTACGACATCGCCAAGCACCTTACATATGAGAACGTTGAGCGCTGGCTGAAGGAGCTGAGGGACCACGCCGACAACAACATCGTCATCATGCTGGTTGGGAACAAGAGCGACCTCCGCCACCTCAGGGCGGTCCCCACTGACGAGGCTCGAGCATTCGCAGGTTAATCACTAAATTCTGTGGTAATGAAGAAAGCCAAGCCAGCCTTATAATATGTAAAACATGTTTGTTTAAAAATGGATCTTTTCTCATCTCCCCGCATTAGAAAAGAACACTCTCTCATTTATTGAGACATCAGCGTTGGACTCCACAAATGTAGAAGAAGCATTCAAGAATATTTTAACAGGTAAGAGGAGACAGACCCAGTGCTGTATCTCATGTGATGTCTGATCTGAAGATTTTAATGTTGCATATAGCATTAGGTACACCGGTGCTACAGATGCATACACAGAAAAAGTCTAAATGAATAGAGCGTCAATGTGTTTTTCTTTCTTAAACTTCCCTCTGTAGAAATCTACCGCATCGTGTCGCAGAAGCAGATAGCTGACAGATCGGCACACGATGAGTCTCCGGGCAACAATGTAGTGGACATAAGTGTCCCTCCAACCACTGACGGGCAGAAGGGCAACAAACTCCAGTGCTGCCAGAGCCTGTGACGCTCAACTCCATAACACTCATCCTCCACCTCTCCAACTCCATCTCAACATCACATCACCTGTGCACTTTTTTCTCCCGTTGCTCTGCTCACGGCCAACTCCCTTGTCACTCTGTCCTTTATTTTTCTTTCTGCCTTTCATTCTGTTTTATATAGGACTTTTGAACTCACCCGTGCTCTTCTCTTCTCTTCTGCCATGAAAGAAAACTTCAAGAAGCCTTTATGTCACTGGGTCAGTCGAGCTGTTCATGGGGTCAATGTGAAGGTTCCTGCAATGCAGGAACAAGGCAGTCGCTGCTGCCTTAATGAAGCCTGTGAAGTTGTTTGAACTGAACCGAAACTCTGTACTTGTGTACAGGGAGGTTGTGAAATACATTTCAATGGTTACCACTAGATGGTGCTGTGTAAATAAACTACAGGCAGTTACTCCAACCTGGTGAAGCAGTATTAAGCGTCTGACAGTGTGGTTCTTCTTTCTTCTTACATCAGTTAAGTTATCATGCCAAAAATATCCTCATGTATTTATTGAAGAATATTTGGCTCAAGTTGTCATTGTTTTACTTTAAATTTAAGAACTGTATAAATTTACAATAAAATTCTTGACAAAAGAATGTTGTGTTTATATATTCTTACTGAAAATGGGACTTTCTCTGATTTTGGTTTTAAGAAAATGTTTGTTTTGTTTCATCAGGATGTTGAAGTTCTGTACCTGACTACAATTTTGAGATACTTAGTACTTAGATTTGACCCCACTACATTTCAGATCAAGAGTTTACATGTAAAATGTGACCAGTTTATAAAATATTTTAGAGTTACAGATTGAGCTACCCAATAGTAGATACACTGGGTAAATTAGCTCCACCATGACATTAAAACACTGCTTACATGTTAACACATCAGTAATGACATTCTAATAATGTGTATATGATAAAGAATGAGGCCATTTTGCATGAGTACTTTTACTTTTGATACTTAAGGTGCATTTTGCTGACAGTTCTCATGCACTTTTACCTACACACCTTTTGAATCCACTACCTTTACTCGTAAAGGAGTATTTTTATATTGCAGAATGGTTACTATTAACACAGTAAACAATCTCAGCACTTCTTCCACTGCTGTCAAGATGTGATACGTTTTTAAAGTTTGTTACATCTTCTGTAGCTGAGCATAAAAAAGTAAAAAAAATTTCACTAATCAACACCCACTGGAAACAAGTTTTAGTGTTTTTCTTTTCCTTCCCAGGGAGCATATGGAATATTGTGAACTGGTGTTTTTCTAGCTAAGCTGCTTATATTTTCCAAATGCAGTGCATGGAGGCCGAGGAGATTCTGTGACTATTCACAGCAGCGAAACTTGATATCAGCAGTTGTTTTTCATCAGGATTAATGGGCACATACAGCTGTGGTCAAAAACAGACTGACAGTAATGACATCTCATCCTCACTGGACTAAGAGGATGATCTCTAAACAGCCATATCAGACAAAAATAGTGATTATCATTAACACAGCTATCTGAACAACAAAATAAATCACCTGACATAATGTGCACCCGCAATTTATCTTCATGTTTTATTTGCTTTGCAAACAATTCTTGGCTAATTGCAGGTACCAGTATTTTGGTATTTCTTTTTTTCCCCCACACAACACTGTAGTATTTAAAAATGTGAATACTGAAGAATTGCAACATAAATTACAAATGATACATATCAACATACCCACCCCCCCAAAAAATACATACAGGATTAAAAGATTACAAAAATGTTACAACATAAGTAATATTAACATTTTTGTGTAATACACAACAAAGAAAATGATAAATTAAGTATTACATTGCGGTTAAAGTGTAATCACTTAAAAACTCTTTGGAGAAATGAGGATCTGTTTCATGTAGCTCTGATAATTGACATGAACAGACAGGTAGCCTGTGGAGGAGCAGTGTTGCATACTTCATACAGATTCCCAATAATGTAAAATAAAATCATAGTTCTACATCAGACATCTTCTACTAATTCAGTTATTTCTTACAGGCAAGCAGTATTGAATAACTGTGCCTCAGCTCTTTGCATTGCTTCAAATCAGTGCCCAAATAAATCCCAATACTTGGAGTAAAGCCTTCATGACAAACAGTAAACACATGGATGATCAAATGACTCATAAGGCCCCCCGGGTGCATCGCAGTACTGCAGGATATAATCCTTTGTTCTGAGATCAGTTAAAAACACAAACAAATGATTAAACTGGGGCAGTATGTGGGGCAACCCACCAGGAGCTAACACTACCAAAGTGTAATGTTGGTGTGTATAAAAGGCCAGGCAAAGACTCTTACAGCCACTGGTCACTGGTAATGCCACACTGTCAGCAGTCAAACAGATACAAATATAAACAAAACAATGGCTGCTCCACACTTACAGCCATATAGCTGGTGTCAATTTCCCACTAAACAGAACTACTGAGATGCACCCTGTTCTTATGACTGATGTTTTACAACAACCCAGAGGAGCCCCAGTACTTGTAATGTCGTTTCAGATTAAAAGGTTTGTGTGGAATGAGGAGGAGGGGGAATAAATGAATCAATATTGATGCTTACTGAGCCAAAAACAAACATCTGCTCTGATAAAGCTGACTGAAATGGTCTGGGCTGACACCACCGCACACCGGTCTAAGTCCAATATTTTTCAAGCCTGATTTATCATAAGGTAAATATATATATGCATTTTCAATAACATATGCATAACTGTGCATAAAGACTAGACTTTTGGCCTCTTCACACAGTTGGTGATATACTGTGTGTGCTTACAATGTGTAAATACTGAATGCCTCTGAAAGTTAGAGCAAAGCACACAGGAAGGACAACCCATGTTTAAAGTATGATAATCAAAAGCATGATAACTCATTAATAAACATATCAGTGTCCTTCTACTGAATAGAGCAGAACCAATCCAAAAGCTAATAATTATCATCTTGGAAATAAAGTTTAGTCATAAAATGATTAATAATCAATCAACCAGTCTTGCTTTAGACAAGTTTTAAGGGTGCCTCAATGCTTTCACTGCTACCTGTGTAGTACAGCTAATGTATTATTTTCATCACCCCACAGAATTATATAAAAAAAAAGTGTTATAAATGAAACACTTAAAACCTGTAAAATCTGCACAATAATACTGAACCAAAGGTTAACATAGGCTGGATTACATTACATTACAATAAAGTTGTTCTCAATACTACATGTGTTGTTGGCTTCTGGCTTATCTCCCTGTGAACGGGCCACAGTGAGTTCAAGTGGCAATTAATCGTCTACCCATAACCTAAATTGAGTGGAATGAGGTAATAATAATAATGTTCAAAACCGGACCATGTTATGAGCTGGAAATCTGGAAACCAGGCAGACGCTGGTTTGTGTTTTCTAACTGGTTGATTAACAGCCACTATAAGTGACTGTAATTGTAAACTGCACCAAACTATGTACAAGAGTGACGAGTGAATTCTCTCTACCGTCCCGAACAACCAACACAGCCAGTCCCAAATTAGTCTGGTCAGTAACATTACAACATAATGAGGCCAAGTTTGCAGCCCCCCAAAAAATTGACATCCATCAAATGGAAAAAGCGTGTGAGCATCTCTAGTGGCTCCCTTGAAAGAAAAGAAAAAACAAAGCTAAAGTCAGATTAAGCCCTAGTGGTGCTTGCATAATGTACCCGCCACCAAAGTCACTGTTGGCGGGTAAGGTTTATGTTAGACTGACAGAAGCACTAAACACCAGCACTGAGAATTATTATTTTTTTTTTAATCTGATAACAGAAACTGATGTTTGGCCATGACTTGAATGATAAATGCTTGCAGGAAGTATCCCTGATTATTGGTGTGACTCTGGGAACTACACACACACAGCAGTGTGTATTCCTTAAAAAACAAAACAAAATGCAAAATACCTATAATTAAGTACTTTAACAGGCAATTGGAAGGAGGCTATAGTACAGCGTCAGCCACCCAACAATAATAATGTTCCTCTAAAACCCATTTTGATGGGAGTTTTCTATCGATCTGTACAAGACCTACTTTCTAAGTGCTGCTAATACAAGAACCTCTGTGAGGACACTGTCGAACCCTACTTCAGTAGGAATAGTCAATCAGTTCAGTTTTTTTAAACCACGAAAGAATTTTGACAATATACTTAAACACAAAAAAAAGTAAAAATTCCTAAAAATTATTAACAGTGCTTGCGTGCATAACTGTGCATGTTGGTAGAGGTCTCTTCATGTACCGTGAAGACCTTTATGTCCACAGTGTTTTATTGCACAATCTCTGGCTTTACGAATGCTATGCTGCCATCCATTCTTGGATGAAATGTAAAAACAGATGCAGGAAAAACCCCTTTAGAAAAGTCCAATAGGTTTGTGCTCAAATTAAAGTTGCATCTCAGACGGAATACTGGCATCTGCAAATGTAAAGAAATCGTTTACAGTTTAACAGGAGGCCACACAAAAACTGCTCCAAAGAGCTCCTCAGTGGGCAATGTTGTGCAGAGGTCAATGTAGCCAAGAGCCCAGATACGACATGTATCTAGTAGTTTACACCCTTTCATCATGCACAACAATGAATGGACCTCCTACACTCCGCTGTCATCGGTGGACCATCGATGGATTGTTGAAACTAAGCAGAACATTCATCAGAACATTTCACAGTCCAATAAACAGGTTAGTTTGGTCATTTCTTATTCTGAGGTCGCTGTTATCTAATGTTATCACTGCACCCATGATGATGAGACTGTTCCCATGTCTCTGTAAATATCTCCACACATCTCCATGCGCTGTTCCATTCTTTAGTGCCTTTTGCCATAAGCTTGGTCAACACCCAGCGTGAGGACGGATAGACTCCATTTAAATGTGCTCTTTTCTGCACCCACAGGAGAACTTTTTTTTTAAGTGATGTGAATTAAGTACTGATGAGACAAAGAAAACATTTTTTTTTTTTTTAAAGCAACCAAAAAAAGCCCACAAGTGTTTTTAAAATGCCAGCTGGCGGGCTTTGACGCGCCGACAATCAGCCCCCGCACATAATAGATACCATTATCACCAACCATCTCCGTTTGGTCTCATACTATACTCTCATTGGCAGACTTCTTCATCAGTTTGGTAGAGAGCAAGGAATGCTGGGAAGAGTTAGACACCTTGGCTTCAGGAATGAGCAGACGTACTTTCTGATTTGTTCTTCTCCACTCAGAGTACAGCTGACAGTGGTAGCGGAAAGATACCTGCACAGACAACCAGGTAGGAGAAGACGGAGATATAGGAGGTCAATTATACACACAAACCTTTAGCTGGTTAAGTCCACTAATAAAATATATGGCGTGTATTACAATAGTTCTACAGTCTAATCTGTATGTGAATTATGTTTTACCAGGGTCCACAGGACATAGATGGTGAAGAGGGCGATGGTGAGGGCTATGAGGCCTACAGCCTGCAGCCAGCTTCCCAGCTGAAGATGGTCCTGAGCACCCCTCAAGCACAGCCAGCCTGAAATGGCTGCTAGGGGTGTGATAAACAGGAAGCACACCATGTCGCAGAACAGCGTCCTCTTCTCATTGCGAGGGCCAGGGTCCCGCAGCCACTGTGGAATAAGAAGTACGAGACAGAAAAATAGAGAAGAGGGAGATATGTACAAGTGAAAGACAGGCAGGGGAGAGGTAGATGGACGGGTGGAAGAGAGATCTTAAGTCAATCAAAAACAGAAAAGAGACACTACAATAACAAGCAAGCAAGCAAGCAAGCAGAAAGATGAGATGTAAAAAAGCTAATTCTCCTTCACACACTTAGATATTCACAATCATTCACATACCACAGCCCAACCACGTAGAATAAAACCCAGACAAGCAGAAAGATTGATGCAGACAAGGCAAAGGGCATTGACCTTTGTTACCTCTGTGAGAGGCCTCGGTCGGCGCTCGATGCTGAACTCTGTGTGGCAGAGCTCGCAGTAGCTGGTGTTGGAAGACGACAGCCACTTCTCCAAGCAGCTTTTGTGCACTGTGCCCAGAGTGCCTGTGCAGTCGCATGGAGACAGGAGCCCCTCGCTGTTGCCCCCTTCATGGCAAATACGGCAGATGGGACCATCACTGAAAATGACATGTATATTAAAAAAAGCTTTAGTTATAGTACCAAAATCCAGAAGGAACTTGCAGAACATCAGATTTACTCAATGTAAATGTTCCCCACAGGACTGCTTCTGTGACAGCATGAGCGTTAGTAAGTCTTACCTTTGTGCGCTCATGGGTTTGAGCACAGAGGAGAGCAATCGTCCATCTATGGCTGTGACCTGGGTGACGTAGAGTGCTGGACACCCGTCACCACCTGCTTCCTCCACACTCTTCCACAGGCCAGTGCTGCTTGCACAGTCACACAGAGAGCCAGGCAGGTGACAACAGCCCCCCGTCGTCATGGTTACAGTGGCCAGACCCTGGCCGTAGAGGTGGAGGCGAGGGTGTAAAGTGACAGAGTCAAAGGTTGACTAGGAGAGCAGGAAGCACAAACTCTGCTGTCCACAGGTTGGTCAAATTCAATGTCTACAAACAGAGAAAGAGACAGATTGAGAGTTAATGGCTTTTTCATATAAACAGCATCAGTGAGGGAAAGCAAGTAAGTACTTTTACTCAGAATTTTAAGGTACTGGAACTTACTTGAATGTTTCCATTTTATGCTACTTTATACTTATACTTCACTACATTTCAGAAACATATATTTCACTTTTTATTCCACTAAATTAATTTCTCATCCTAATTATTCTCAGTGATATATTATTCATAAATTGGCTCCATAATAAGTACTTTTGGTAGCTTAAGTACATTTTTATACTAATACTAAAGACTTACTGTAGGTACAATTTTAAATACAAGACTTTTACTTGTCAACAAATATTTTACTTAAAAATGTTAAACAAAAATCCCCATCACTGAATAATAAACTATATAATATTAGAGTAGTATAAAATTACAATACAGTATAATATCATGCAGAAGCTGAAGCACGCTGCCTCAAATTAAATATAATAAAAATAAAGAGATACAGAATATCGATATATCAAAATTGTTAAATGAGACTAGTCATTTGTCATTTGGGTCATCACAATATTGTGATAGAGTTAACTTAAATGTCTTCCTGGTCCTTAAAGCTGCAGCTAATATATGTAGCCATATATTATTATAAAATAATTGTATGAAAGCATTAATAGTTGTACCCATATTATTAACAGTATTGTGAAATAGTCAATACAGTACACTTAGCTTTATGTTATGACAGTGCTCATATGAATGTGTGCTTAATGTAACATTCATTTCCTGCCATGTGAGAATAACTAAGGTTATCTACAAAAACGTTTTGTCATTTACAAGAAAGCTGTCAGTTTGGAGGTGGGCCAATTTGCCCAAAGCAGCAACTAATCCAGTATAAAAGCAAGCGTATTCGACATTGAGTGCGATGTGCAGCCGACTGATAAACAGTCTGTCTCCACTCAGAGAACCCCTCACTAAAGATAAGAGGCAGAGGGATGAATTTGCTACAGCCTGTTGTACATTTGCCTTGCTATTTGGAAATTATTCTGTACAGTATCACACAACTGACACAAAAACAATAGATAGAGTTAAGAGTACACTAGAGTTTCTAAAACCAAAACATATGACTGATATGTGTTTAGGTATTTAAGTCTTTCCTTTTAAAGAAATGTTGAGCTAGTGTGCTTAATCACCACTTTAATGATGGCAGCACAACTACTATTTAAGAGGGCAACTTTAACACATAAACATATTGTGTATGACACAAGACAGTGATTATTCATACCAGGGTAAACAGCCCCGGCTGTGTTACTGTGCACATCACTGGTAATCCTATGTACTCAACAGTGTTATTGTTGTGTTGTTTTTTAAATCAGGAGGTTTAAAATGAAACATGCAGTTAATTTATGGGATTTTCTTTATTCTGTCTCTTGTCTGAACTTCATGATTCAGGTACTTGACTAGATGACCTCTTAATCCACTCAGATCAATGGCAAACGTGGTGTTATTATTTCTGAATACTGATACAGCATTAAGAGGCACAATCCCTGACCCAGATAAACAAAAGGGTAGCCCCAAAACTAAAACAACAACAAGATCTATTAAGTTACTGTCTATCCACGCTAGTGATGAGCTGTATGTAAACACAGGAATAAAACAGACTGGTGTATTTCCACATATGATCACTGAGGAGACATTACGTTAAATTCAGTCATTTTTAAGCCAAACTCTTCAAGTAAATGTGACTGGAACTGCGCACACACACACACACACACACACACACACACACACACACACACACACACATTACGCCATGAACATTTTACTCTGCCAACAAACTAGAAGTGGAAGAGAGTTTTATTTTCACAGAGAAAAGTAGCTAAAGCAGCTGTTATCAGCATCCAGCTGTGATCCAGACTATTGTCTGGAGCAGACAGACTGAATGTTGTCGACATCATACAGCCAGAAGATTGTGTGGCTGCATACATTAGCTGTGTATACAGCTATGTGTAGGTGATATAACGTTAGTTAATAGATTAGTACAAACTGGGGTTTTTTCTTTTTACATTGTCATTTGTGATGAATGATCAGTTAATGTAACGTTAGTCCATGTTGTCAGTTGGTGCCGTTACAGCTGTGTTGTTAGCTGTCAGTAGCTACAGTACAGTAAGCTGCTAGCCGTCCGTCTGCTGTATTATAACATTAAAGCTAAAACGTCTACTTACCCCGTGTCTTCTTCTTACAGATGTGTCACAGCAGCGGGCATTACCGCCCCAATAACCTCGTATTTCCTTCTCCTTTCATTTTCAGCCGCAGCGACGTGTGAATTCACAGCATTGGTCAAAGTGCTGTGCCACTAGCTAACTAGCACTAGCCACTGGTATGCTATAGAGTCCTGTGCTAGCTAGCGGCCCTCAGCTGATGACACACAGCAGCCCAGGCTTCCGCTTTCCCTGGGCTTTAAATATACCCCAGAGGCTCATCATCAGCTGTCTGCCTCCACCGTGAAGACAGGGCAGACGAGTGCAAAACAATCCGGGCGACTTAAAATGTGTTTGGGAATAACAACAGCTTGCCAAAGGGAGGGGCGTTCACAGAAAGCGTCACATGCGCAACACGGCCAGGAGAGATAAACACACTAAATCATTTATATAATGCATTAAAAATGGAAAACAAATAGATTTTAATTGTGTTTTAATGTTTTACAGCACATATTGATCATAAAATGTCCACAGATTTTTTTGTTACTTTACCGTTGTGGAAATGGCAGGTCTTATAACTGCATAATGAATATTAAATGTAATAGTGGTTAATGATGGTTGTAAAGGCAGAGAGCTACTTCATTTACCTTCATTAAAAATGCCCGAGCACAACAATGCACAGTTAGCTTTTTAACAATGTTTCACACAATAAACTGCTGTTTTTTTTAAAAACACTGAGTGGTGTTAAAATGCATTCACATTTGTTTCAACAGGGATGAAGATTTCTAAAACAAAGATATTTTAAGGGGGCCTGCCCTAAGAGCAGTAGACATGGACTAGATGCTGTAAAACTGTATGACTATATGAGGAGTGCCTAGCGTTTAGGTGTAGATCCTGAATGGTCGCCTGTCAAATGGACCTCTGGAGCCTGTACACACTTTGCACAAACATTTCCACCCAACCGTTGACAGCCAAGTTGCTACACAACAGAGAGCAAACACAACATTAAGTTAAGAGTACACAGAGTGAGTAATGCATCCAAAAATAGGTCTGTTGGCTATATGTGGATTAGGTTTATTTATGCTTCAGTATTTTCTGTGTAATGCGAAAGTAGCAAAACATGTTTACATTTGCTGCCTTTACATATATTTTTTGAAGAAATGCTAAATATCACAAGAGACATAAGGAACTTCAATCAATCACACGTGAAAGCATCTGTGCCAGACGGGTGAAATGGGGGCATTTCAGCCAACCATGTAAACAATTTGCATTTCTGATTTTCAGTTCTACTTTTCCGACTGGCAAACGTTAATGTGGCTGACTGACAGTGTTGAAGAAACATATTATACACATCTTTATCCATTTCCCTTTAACAGATATCTCACTCATATGACAGCAAAGGTTAACTGAGCACATTAGAGGAAAATGTTCAAGACAAGAAAGAATTTTGTCTTTGCAACAGTTTCCTTAACAACCAATAGAAACATGTTTCAAAGACGTTAAGTGTATTTTTAAAATAAGTGGATTTGTTCCACTGAAATTATTGGACGTAAGTGCAAAAAACTGATTTTCATTTCGAGACAGCCGACTGAGCCAACTCAAAAAGAGAAACACAAGGCTTGATGCAGGCTGACACCATTATTCCACAAATAATAAAATCACACAGCACAATTTATAACATTACTTTTGCTATATAGCATTACACATTATTTGCAAATAGCTTGGATTGGTTTGCCAAATACAGCAATGAAATGCAATCTTAGCAGCCTTTAACAAGTTTAAATGAGAAAACCTAAAACTGACAATGATTGCATCCGTCTCCTTTGGTATCTTTGTGCACTAAGATTAACGCACACACTCTCACACACACACACACACACACACACACACACAGTCACGCACAAATAAAAACACTTAAGTTTGATTTACACTTGCCCATATTAACTCAGTCGCAGCCAGTCTGGTCCCTGGCTCATGCTAATTTCATGCCACAGTGGGCACAGGACTCAAAGAGGAAAATTACAATTAAGAGGCAAATAGAAATTCCAGACAGAGTACACATCAATACTCTGGTGGTACCTTCGTCTCATCTCCTCCTCTACACCCGAAATGCATGACAGACAGAATCAGGTCAACCAGACATGAAATTGGGATTCCACTGTAGCAAGTCTGTATCATTGCAAGCTGAGAAAAGAGGCAAGTAGAAACCACTTGCTCTGATAAACAGGCTGACTGATCCCTCACCATTCCTTCAACGGGAGCGGGTCAATGGGACCATAAAGGCTAGTTAATTAAAAAGAAATTGTAATTTACTACAGTTTTAAGTTCAACTTCATAATAGCAAAACACTTGCTCCCTCTCCAGGTTATTACGAGGCTGTATAGTTTTTTATACACAGACTGAAATCAGAGGAAGACAAATGAACCAAGAAAAGAAAAAACAAAGAAGAAACCAGCAAAAAGGAATGTCAAATACAAGTGTCTTGGTGTCAGAGACGTCTGAGCCCATGAGGGTATCATGATGGCAGCAGCATGACAGTTGAAGTAAACCAGAGGTGAGGAGAGGAAAGACTGACAGAAAGTCAAACAGGAAATCACAGGCTTTGGCAGCAAGGGAGTTTGTTGCCCCTCTGCCCGTCCGTAGTTGGGGGGAGACTTATGTCCACTACGTTGTTGCCTGGAGACTCATCATGTCCAGATCTATCAGAAATTTGCTTCTGAGATACGATACGGTAGATTTCTGTAAGAGAAAACAGCGGTAAGTAAATCTTATGGTACATAACCTTGGAGATTTATAAAAAGCTTTACATTATGTTTAAGAGTTTCTACCTGTGAGAATGTTCTTAAAGGCTTCTTCTACATTAGTGGAGTCCAAGGCGGAGGTCTCAATAAATGAAAGTGTGTTTTTTTCTGAAGACGAGAAAAAGTATGATTTACACATTAATGCAATTTTAATGTATGTTAACCACGAGACAGCTTGGATAATTCTTTAAATAAGTGGTTTTAGTATTATGGCTACAAACAAACAGAATTCTACTTTGATTACAAGACTACTTTAAATGGAGTGCTGTTTCCCCGACGGCAACACTAAATAATTTACCTGAGAATGCTCGAGCCTCGTCAGTGGGGACCGCCCTGAGGTGGCGGAGGTCGCTCTTGTTCCCAACCAGCATGATGACGATGTTGTTGTCGGCGTGGTCCCTCAGCTCCTTCAGCCAGCGCTCAACGTTCTCATATGTAAGGTGCTTGGCGATGTCGTAAACAAGGAGAGCCCCAACAGCACCCCGGTAATACCTGGCGACGGCATAAACCAGATGAATACAATAACTGCACTGTCTTTATTTCAGGGCCATATTTGCATCACTAGTTTGTTGAAAATACTCACGCTGAGGTGATAGCTCTGTAGCGTTCCTGTCCAGCTGTGTCCCAAATTTGGGCCTTTATCGTCTTGCCGTCCACCTGGATGCTGCGGGTGGCGAACTCCACCCCAATGGTGCTCTTGCTCTCCAGGTTGAACTCATTTCTCGTGAAACGGGACAGCAGGTTACTCTTCCCCACTCCAGAGTCTCCGATTAGCACAACTGCAACCACATCACACACAAAAAAAATGTAAATAAATAACCTGCAGTGTTAGTCTGACAAACTGTAAAAGATAAGTGGTATGAAATCATTCCAATCCATGTCACAGTGAGTGCAATCTTTTAAAGCTTCAGTCCATTAAAGCAAATGTTTGTAAAATACAGTTTATTCTATTTTATATACACACTCAATCCAGCACCTTGCAGAGCACACTTACTTACACTAATGTACAGTACACATTTAACTAGTACGTTACAGAAGTTACAGTAAGGTCCTAGTTTTAGTTCAGACTAACCCATCTATCTATCTATCTATCTATCTATCTATCTATCTGCGCTGCAACAAAATACTGATTGAAGGTGAAACGTACAACATGTCTATCGGTATGTTACTTTACTCTTCTGTCTAAAATTGTGTCTTAATGCATAAGACGTTAAGTAACTTAGAGGACACTGATTATGTGCTCACCAGGAGCAGCACAGAGAAATATGTCAAGCAGCAGTTTTGCTCGTTGTTTTTGACGATGTCAACAAGTTAGCTAAGTAGCCTTAGCTTTCGTAGCTTTACATGTCTCGCAAAGTGATGCAGAATTAAAACTACTAAAAGGTACGGTAACTATTCAATAGCTGCCATCTGTCGCCCAAGACAGACATTTTATTTTAAGTAAACTTAAGGTCGCCTAAGGTGATTGTTTTTAACGAGGCCAACGTAGCTGCCATGTTAGCCAGCTAGCTTACTTATTTACCGTTAGCTACTTATTTACCTGGCGTTAGCTAAAAGCCATCTCTGGAGTCGCTGATTGGTTCGCGAGTTTAAGATCGAAGTTACACTACTAAAGACGAAGTGTGGTAGCATTACACGCTTGTAATTGAACTTATAAGAGTGATTACATGGTTTGCTCGACAGTCCGCAGCTATCGTGTTACTTGGCTACCAGTAACGTTTGAGCTAACTTTAGCATTAACGCTGGCTTAGTCGACTTCCTCAGTTCGTCCTGCTGTCATCGAACTTTTACAAAGAGCTCAAACACGCTGTCAGTCATCCACATTTCAAGAGGAAAGTACCTTTGAACAAGTAGTCGTATTCATCATCTCGGGTTCCCATTTTTGAAGACTAGTTTTTGTACTTTTTGAAGTACTTTCCCACGATCAACAACAACAACCCTTCCCACCGGCAGCTAGTAGGCACCTCCTTCAAGGAAGAGAACGAGCACGTGAGTTTTGGAACGTCGTTCTCGACCAATTGAAAACGTTTTCGTAATGACTGACACATAGACTGACCAATCATATGCGTTCTTTGAAAATGCCGACCAATCACGATACAGAGCAGAGAACACGGCGGAGGCATTACACCCTTTGTTCTCCAAACTTTGACGCCCTGTCCTCTTGTGGATTGAGCAACATCCAATTTTTCGAGCATCAGCATACTTCAGCATATTTCACAATGTTTTATGACATTTTTTTTTGTATTACACCCAGAGCAGAATGTATACACATGAACCAAGCTGTGGTATTACATGGAAAAGGCAGATGCATCAAACCAAACAATAGGAGAGGCTATAGGCTACTATATATTAATTGTTCACAACTATTATTACTAACAAAGTAATTATTAGTCGTTATTAATATGTTGTTCATTTGTACTCCACTGTATTCCACTTTATTGTCTTAGTGGACACACAAACCAGACCAGTAGATGTCATATTAGCAGATTCTGGTCTGAGTGGAAGAGCCCCAGCCAAGACTGTCAGTGTGTGATTTATTTTTTTCAACAGGGAAAGCTGGATTTGAGATTCCTCTTCTGGTGTGCTCCTTTTCTGTGGCAGAGATTAACCATTACTGGTAGGAACTGACATCTGATAGTCTCTAGCTGAGCTAGAGAGGAGTAACCTTATCTTCAGAACTGCGTCACATGATCAGACCTTCCCGGCTCCTACAGACACATTTTGCAGATATTTGTCCCCCTAACAAGCCTGGATGGTGATGGTTAATCCATTCATGAAACACTTTCATCTAGAGCAAGATGGCTCAACAGCTAGTGGCAGAATTTCCACTACTGAAAATATTTCTAATCATTGTTGTGACCCCTTGACCTTTCATGCAGCATTCATGGTGATCAGGCCAAACTTTTCAAAATCTAATAGGCAGAATGGCATGTTCATTAACATCCCACGGTACATAGAAGGAACACGTGGTTTTGTTCTGCGTAGAGACATAAAGCTTCTAGACTTGGAGTAATTTGAAAAATTGCCTTTACAAATTGACATTCTTTAAACTAAATAAAATACAACCTAAAATGTGCCAAATATGAAGGATAAAGTTTAAATCACACACAAAATCACATAACTGTGAGGACAAATGATGTGTTATATGTCAAATATTTTATATTTTATCTATTCTAATGCTACTGTAATTGTTACATACAAATTACACACTTGGTGTGTAAATGAAGCAAAATTGTAGTTATACCTATCTGCTGTTTTGGCCCTAAAACACAGTAAAACTAAAGCCTCCAAAACACTGTTTTTGTTTGAACATTTTGTTATTCTCAACATAAAAACTGCAGTACCCAATTAGTCACCCTAAGACCCTTATGACTTGTGAACTCAGTGGTAGGAGTTAATGCATAACAACTGAATGATGATCAGTCTCTCTGTCTCCCAAAAACATGGCGACTGATACAAATGGCTTATTTCCATTTCAAATCAGGTGCCTGATAATTTTAGTAATTAATACAAATATTATATGACATCATCTCCATGGACAACAATTCATAGAACTGCTTTATTTTGTATTCATTCTGATTGAGTCCAAACACACACACATACAGCCATCTATTTATCCTCACGTATAAATAGATGAATATACACAGATATACATAAATACACATTTCTGATATGCATATTCATTTTGAAATCATGCTATGTCTCTGTTAAGGACTCTCCCTATTGGATGAGGGCACACAGCGATTTGAAAACACATACACAACACAGCTGAACAGTTGGAAGAATCCCTATTGATTTGCATGTACAGTAAACCCCACAAATCTTTCAATTTGGATATCTTACAAAGAAACAGCTGTGGTTTATAGACCATAAATATACAGCAGCTGCATCTCAATAAACACACTGAAGGATATGGTACAGTAAATTATGTAGATTGCAATCATTTCTTGCCCAGCAGCAAAAATAAAACCAAATAAAAATAATATTCTCCGATTCAAATGGAAAATATATTTGTATATCTTTATATATGTATTTATAATTTTATGTACACATTCTCAGGAGCACAACTATGAGAAAGAAAAATAAATACAACAGCACAAGTGAAAAAAATATAAACAATAGGCCTACATGTAAAATTTCTCAATAAGGCAATAAAAATGAACTTAAAAGCTAGACTGTACAAAATATTGCTGCTATGGTCTCCATCTGATGAACAGCAAACTGATTACAACTGGCCACTGCACATCATGAGAATGAGCTGATTTCTATTTTACAATGTCCAACATTGAGGTGTCCTTCCTTACACACACAAACACACATAGAAACATACCAACCAACTGAAGAAACTGCGTCTGTTAGAAGTTAGATTAAAAAATCAGTTTGTTGAACTTAAGTCTTACTTGAGAGTCCTACGATGTCAGCCACAGAGAGACTACAGTTAACACTACAATGACTGTGATTGACTTCACCAACACACACACTTGATAATCCTAACAAAAACGCCGTCTATATATCACCGGTGTGAGCAGAAAACGAAGATAACGTGATGTATGTTTATTTGGCCTCTATCACTAGTTCATCTTCAGGTCCTCTTGACAAGTGCAAACAACATTCAACCCATTTACAAACTGCTGTGTCACCAGGTCAACACTGCGACGTACTGTGTTCATTCAAATATACAGATAACAGGTACGATATTGACTGCAAATACTACAACTGATGCTCTACGTCTACAAACATTTGAAATGTCCAGTCAATGGATTTTCTTATTGTGAGGAGGTAAGGGCGACCAGATAGAGCAACTGTCACTGATATGCTGATTATTGTTCCACCCTCATAAAAAAAAAACAGGAAAAAGGAAATATGAAATTCTATTGTTACAAATGATTTGTGTGCATCTGTCCAAAAATAGGGCAACACTGGAAGACATTGTAATGATGTGAAGATTACTATAATGACTGACAATGTCTGCTGCCTTAGTGTTGCAATTGATGCCTTCTTTTTGAAGGCGAGAGTCATGAGCCTCATCTGTTTCTACAAGAGGTGTAGTGAAAAAAGTAGTTAACACTGAAATTAAACAACAAACACATGATGTAAAAAAAGAAACTGGTAAACTAAAAAAAAAAAGCTGCAGTGCTGAAATGATAAAACAAAAAATAAAAGTTCTTTGGATGCAAATTGAAAAGAAAGCGTTCAGAGTGAAAAAGTATCAATAACAGTGACCATTAGAATAAAATACAAACAGACAAAACAAATATAAGTTCACAGTAGTAAAACAGAAATAAAAAAATGTTGGAAAAATGTTTTTGATATACATAATAAATTATTATGCTATGAAAGAACTATATATATTCACTAAAAGAAATTCTGTGTTTCTATAAACTGAACTGCATATTTTCACTACTGGAAATGTGAGAATGACAGAGACGTCTGGATGTTCTGTTTTGATTGGCCAAACGATGGTTATCATTGTAACTCCAGTTCTCAGAGCACAGCCCTCCCAACACCACAGGTTTGACCACTCATCCGGCACACTGAAATCTCACACCATGTGTTTCTTTTCCAGCTGTTGCTGGATGCCATGTGAGGGTACAACATCAATACAGCCAGTACCAAGGAGCGTTGGTGGGCTTATCCTGATTGGCCAAATGTCCGTGTGCTGCTCTGCAGGAGTGAGTGGGAGAGCCTGTTATAGGGCTGTGCTTGTGTGAACTAGATCATACTGTACAATGCCTACAAAAAGACTTCACCCCATGTGGAAGTTATCATGTTTTATTTTATGTTTACTGACATGAAAGCGTCTTTTTCTGTTGATCAGTGTCAAAAAAAGCCACATTATATCTACTTCAGTGTTGTAAGACAGTAAAACATGAACACTTCCAAGGGGGTGAATACATTTCAGAGGCACTGTGAGCTACTATGGTCTTTCATGTATGTCAAACATATAAGACTACAGCCGTATACACACTACTGCATGTCACACATACACATTATTGTTAAATTTATATAATTTTCATTTGTCCAGGGTGAAAGGCAGGGATGGTTAAAAATCAGCAATGTCATCATTGTCAGGATTTTTTCCCCCTCTCTGGTACTCAAGTCACTTGTATACATGTTTAAAGTCCTGGTTCAGACAGAGATCCTGCTGCTACCGCTGAGGTCTGGACTTCTGACCGATGAGTCCTCTCCGCTGAGACGTTCACTCCTCTCTGCCAGAGAACAGGGTTTACTGTTGGAGACAGACGGAGTGAATGTGTGAGGGAGACTGCACACAGCATACACATCTTTATTTCCCCAGGGCGTAAAATGTGTATCTTCTCATGCATTACCAGCTAATGATAGTGAGCCGTCTAATCAAAGTAAGAAGGAGAAAGTAGAATAGATAAGGCAAGCAGAAATCTCATAACATAAACATAGACACGCCTGAGTCACTGAAAATCAGAAAAAAGTGAAGATGTATTCATGTTTTTATTAAATGATAATAGAAAGTAAGGTTTTCACATGGCCTGCAGTTTGTGTTCACTTTGGTCTACACCATCAAGTCTGCTAGCATAAACTCCACATTTAACAAACACTAATGTGGATTTAGTGGAATATCTTGGATCAACAAATGCTGCAAAGTAGGAATTTCCTAAGCTAATATAATATTTTTAATTCATCTTAGCTACATAATACAGAAACATTTGAAATAGTTAACAAGTGTCCCCCTCAAAAGTTCAATGTTTGATCTTCACTGTGCAGAATGAAGAAGGATGTTTTCACATTCATTGGCTGAACGTGGAAAGTTTCTCTGTGCTCACTGAAAATCTGATTTTAGGGGCGGGGCCTACGAGCATGATTTATGACATCACAAATACTTTGAAAGTCAATCCTGGTCCAGTATGCAACTCATACAAGTGTGATGTAGAAAGCCACCAGTGCACATACACTGAGAATGGACTTTACAGTGAAATAGGAGACATCTTGTGTCCAGCAGGAAACCTTAAGAAATGAACAAAATGTGCATATTCATAGAATCTGGTATTTTTAATGAGGTAGAATGTATGTCTTTATAAGGATTTTAAGGTTGAAATTATACTTTTTGTGGAAAAAATCAAAGCAGACACACATTATTCTCCCAATCAGACTATTTGTATATATGTGTTAATACGTTCATGGAGTGGATGACCAATATGATAAGGTTATTATACATTACTATGGAACAGGGATTAAGTTAGAGCACAATTTAATATTCTTTTACATCTTCGACCTCTGTCGAATATATCTATCCAAACTGAACTGGTCATTAAATGACCTGATCAGGAATGTCAGCACAAAACTTGCTTTGGGACATCCCTGATGTAAAGAAATGTCTGAGAAGATGACAGATAAAATGAGTAGAAATAAAAAAAAATCAATGGTTGATGACACCATATCATCTAAGCATGGCAGTGTGGCCAAATGCTGCTACACTGAACAAAGTAGACAAGCAACCTGCGAAAGAAAACCTCACATTAAACCTCTAAAGGAAAACAGTCAGAGCAAAGTGATGTCCTGTCTAATTTGACTCTTTGTTTTACTGTCAGATTAACCAGCTATAGCTCTACCTGTAAGATTTTACATATACATTTTAACACTGAAAATAAACTCCTAACTCATTAACTCTACACCCACATTGCCCAAGATTTAACAAAATGATGTCCATGTTCTGTAAAATCTGATTCCTCCTCTGCGAGTTTAATGCACATACTGTATCTTTAGTGTGACCGTCTAGCAGCAGGAGCTGTGGGAGTCTAGTGAAGCATGAGACTTCTCACAGGCCGATGAAGTACCGCAGTGTAGTAAATGCTGAGCAGCTTTTTGTTGGAGGGACACAGGATGGCTGGTCGTGGACTAAATGGTCACGCAAGCTGCGAGTGACCATTTCCACCCACTTATCAATGAGGAATGAATGCTGTAATGTAGGGGTGGATGCAGAGCAAGCCTACACTTTGAGTAACTATGCACTTTTGAACACGAGAAGCTTGTTCTACATTTACCGTAAAAGCTTCTTGTGCAGGTAAACTGATCCATCCACGAATGAACAATCACCACCAAACACAACTGATTTTATTCCTTTTCTAAACAATTTTCCTGTACTTAATATCTTATCCGATGCTTCTCACTTACTGTCTCTCTTTCCCAATCCCCATCTGGCAGGGCCTTAGACTCTGAGCCATAGTGTAGCGGAGAGTACACCCAGGTCTTGTCCTCTGGAGGCTGTTTTTACACACCCACCACAGCAGAGGGGGACAGAGGAAAGGCCAGAGGCACAGAGACAAGCAGCAGGGGCAGGCAGGAGAAAGACACAGGAGATCACAGGAGAAGAAAAGACAAGACAGGAAATGAAAATTAGGGATGCATATAGGAGGAAATGTTGCTGTGAGACATCGAAAAGTGTGAATTTGACAAATAAGTGTAAAAATGTTAAAAGTGTTTAAAAGGATGTGTAAATCCTTTTGGCAGTTAAACACAGAGATGAAAATTTAGGCAAATAACAGGTTGTATCGGTACAGAGGAGTGCTGTTAAGCATGTAAATATTATGATGGGTCTTACAGACATGTGGTTAAATCAAAAGTCTTAGTCTTTTGCCCCATTTGGACTAGCTCCTGGGAAGCAAAGTGAGGTGTACAGAGCGAGGGATGAGTCGCTGCATCAGCCAAACGGGGAGGATGAGGAGCAGGAAGGAGAATGGGAAGAAAGCCAGGATGCCGGGACAGTCAGACACAGAAAGCATCCTCAGTCAAAGCAAAACACAAGAACAGGATGTTGTTGTGGTTTTTTTTTTCCTTTCCAACAAGCAAAAGCACTCTTTGGGTTATGTCTCCAAAAGCTTCGGTAGGTTCTGTGTTACTGAAGGTACCAGCCCTTTAAGAGAGGGAAGCAGCTGCAGCACGCTATGTTGGCGATGGTGACGGAGGTGTGGGTTGATGTCACACACTCACTCACACACACACATATATATATATACACACACACACACACACAAAGCACAGCACGTTGGAGCTAACACCCTATCAACACAGGGGCAAAGGAGCATGAGGCAGGCTGTCGGTGAGTGAGGAAACAAATGGAGATGAATACAAGAGTAACACAAAGACACACTGTCTAATAAGAAGTCTTGTCACTGTCTTCCCTGTGGGGAGGGTAGCTATTGGTTTCATGTTTAAACACAACTGCAAAAACACCTGATGTAATTAAATCACACAAAGCTGTAGGAAAAAAAACGTATTTCCTCTCAACACTGTAATCACATGTTTCATTAAACCAACAGCAATGTGCCCAGGACTAATCTAGTCTAATACCAGACACTTACAGCACTAGTACCATCTAACTCACTTCTCACTTACTGGCCAACAGGACTGGCATTTCCTTCTCTGTCGCAGAGGAGAGACCACCCAGGTCCTCCCGTCAGGAAACTGACAACAGGGGGAATATGGCACAAAGAGATATGAAAAGTTTGAAGGGAGGTAGGGAGGGACAAAGGATGGAAAACATGATGAAAAGGACGAAGCATGCTGAGGTGAAAATGGAAAAGATTGCTCTGTGTGTAACCCAGCAGGGATACACTGGATGAGTCAGTGGTGACAGATATATTCACAAGTCTGACAGCCACACTGTTTTCATCCCCCCTTTTACACACAACACGCTACTATCTCGCCACTTTCATTATGACTCACAAGGACAATCACAGGAAACGTTGGAGAGAGAGCAAGAAGGAAAAGATTAGGGGCTAGATGAAACAGGGGGAGGTGAAAATGATGTAGAGTATGAGTAAAATGGGCGAGTAGGGCACAGGAGGACGGAGGTAAGGGGGTGAAGATGAGGGAGAGGAGACAAAAGAAGAAAAACAATCACATGTGGAGGAGGACAGAGGTGAAGGAGAGCAGAGTGAGAATCATGAAAAGTGAATGTGGAGACTGTTGATAGTGGCTGAATAATTTAGTCACGAGTCACACTGAGCAACCTGTGAAGTGTCCTCACTCACACACACACTCACACACACACACACACAGTCTTGAGCAATCACTCCAATCTCACAGCTAAATGATGCGCGATCACAAATGTGGCCTCGTATCAAAAATTCAGACAAATTCCCTGCCCCTTCCTCCAGCACATCTTGTGTGATTCATGAAAAATGATTTATTTTGATTTTCTCTACCCACAAACACAAGCTAGCAGGCCCGAGTGTGCTTGTAATGGGGCAGTGGAAACTCAGTAATAAAATAAAGAAAATTTGCTGGAATATACAGAAACTTACAACAACTTACAACATGTTAATCAAAATACAATTCAGCTCAGCCTTCTTTTGCAGCACAACTGCAATTTGTTTTTTGTGCGCGCTCTCTCTTACACTCATAATCGACTTACATTACAAGCATGTTATGTAAGCAATGGATTTTTGTCTTTGACAACACTGTTGTGAGAAACTGCTCCACAATACCCAATAATACAGATTTTCTGCTAGCTCTGCCTGTGTTAGTTGAAACTACTCCAACTCCTGAAGGATATAAGAAAACAAGTAGAGTGAGGATACAGGGGCAATAACTCTGACATTGTCCTGTGGTTCTTGCTTGTTCTGTGTGAATGGCGTGGACGGGCACCTAAAACATTCATCAACGGAAAAAGCAGGCTGAGTGGCCATGCAGAAACCTGATTTGTGTGTGATGTCAGAAGGGAGAAGCGAGGGTGATGATGATGATGGAGATAGCAGAAACAGACAGGGAGCACAGAGACAGGGATGATCGGATGGCGAACTGACTGACTGAGCTGCTGAATGGCCAAACTGAGCGGAGCAATAGAGATTTAAATGATTCCATTTAAGTTCAGTTCTGGCAGCATGTTAACGGTGGATGAAACAACTTACTTTGACTTGGCCACTTCCTAGAGGCCACTTTTGACTGCACTGCCTGCAGCATGTTTCTTTGTAGTTCACACAGCGCTACAGACCCCCTGCTGCTGTGTACAGAGAGTGTATCCCCTTCCTTTTGAAGCATGAACTGGGCATCAGCCAGAGCCGGTCAGACGAGAGGGCTGTTAAATAACTGAGGGAGCTCGTTGACTAACCTGTTGGCCATTAGGATTTCTCATGCCACATTAGAGGGTGTTTGATTCCTGATAGGAGACACCCAGCAGGAGTGTGAGCGTGGTGGGAACGTTTCTATCTGTAACTGTGATCACTGGCTTCACCCTCCATCCTCCACCTGACACTCATACATTCATTTATAGCTGTGCTTTTGGGCACATTTAGACCTGCCACCACAACAGTATCTGATGATAGCTGGTTGCTCTCAGTAGGACAGTCCTGTAGACTGAACACACACACAAACTGCAAAAGTTTCATTTGTTATTCATACAAAATGAGCTGCTGAGTGTGTCCTTGCTGACCATCATATTAGACAGGAACTGCAAAGTGATGTTGACGGGCTATCATCACTCTGCAAACACTCCAAACCAGAGAGCACACTGCAATACACTGTGTTTAAAGAAATAGTTCGACATTTTAGGAAACATGCTAATTCGCTTTCTTGGTTAGTTGTGAAGATTGATACCACTCTCATGTCTGTAATGCTAAATATCAAGCCAGTAGGAGGTAAGCTTAGCTTAGCATAAAGACTGGAATGAATGTCGAAGTATTCCTTTAGCTGAATGCACCACACACTGCAAGCAGTAACTGCGCACTCTTACTGCCATAGCTGGAGTTGCTACATCCTTCTGTCAACGCCTCTGTAGGAGAGCATCATATAGCACAGTGCTTGACTTTATGATCATAAGTACATCATTTATTACAAATGTGTCTGATAACTGTCAATACACACTGATGCTGATTCAATATTAAAGGTGATTTGATGGCTAAATAAAAATGTTGAATTCAAACAGATGAGATGTGATGGGAGCTAGTCCTAATCTTTGTCTTCTTAACAGGTATACCATCTAAAAGAAGCTCAAATGTGTTTGTACATGTATGTGTGTGTGTGTGTGGGGAGGGTTTTACTCACAAAGTAGATATCTGTGATTGGCACATCATCTTCATCATCGACTGAAGCCTGGCTGGTGCACCCTGAGCCGGACATCTGGCTGGCCCTGTCTGCCTCCATCGTCACCTTGGGGCTGGACGGAGCGTCCCTGGCTGCCCCGGGGGAAGAGGGAGCAGCTGGGGCAGACGAGGAGGAGGCAGCTTCAGGTGCTGACGAAGAGCTGGAAGGTGCTGCTGCAGCGGCATTGGGAGCCTCGGCACCAGCTACTTCCTGAACCCCACTGTGGGAAGGGCGGAAATGGGAGATAGTTGGGTTAGATAGTTAGTGTAGTCCGGGGGTTTTCAAAGTTTGACACTGTGGGCCTCCTTCCCCAGACGTAATCACGACAACTGTGACCCCCCAGTAATGCTTTGGGGAATTTAAACAGGAGGTGTATTTATTTGAAAAGGTTGGGGGTAATATACAGTTAATTTGATAATGCTACAACCTCAGCCCTGTTTTTTAAAGCCTAAATTTGTTCATTTTGACAAATTGGCATCATCAAAAGTATGCCGAATTAGCTATTAGCGGTTTGTTTTTGCAATATACCCATGGGTGTACATTCAACCAACAGTGGATTGCTTTGACACTGAAAAACTAAAAACATAATGATTCTCTAGAAGTTCTGTAGATGTAAGGAGCGTCTTTTTTTGTGAAGTGGATTTCTCGATGTTTATTCACAGTGATATTCTTGGAAAGTGTACGTTGTAGAAGACTGGGTGTAGTACAATGTAATATCATTTTGAGGTTTTCCTGCACATTTAGTGTTTTACATGATTTTTAAAATAATATTATTCCAAAGGCTCCATGTAGTTTAAGGACTATATAAACACCCTGGTTACCCGCACACACAGACACACACAGCAGTTCCCGACATTAAGAGCCACTGATTGGGTCACTTGCCATAAGCCACTTTTCTGCAGCAGGGCAGAGAAATAGCAAAGAGCTATTAGAGAAAACTGGCTCTGGCTAAAATTCAACAGCTGTGTGTGTGTGGGGGTGTTTAGCTGCTTAGGCTCTAAGATTTGCCAGCTGGCTGTGTGCTGCCACAATCCTTTATTGTTCCTGGCCAGATCATAAACTATTAGGAAGGATTTAGGCGCGTCCACATTGCTTTCTCAGCTTCTGTGTTTGAGCTTAGCTCCACCAGAGGAGAAGGCCAGCAGTTGGCCGCTGAGGCAAAAAAGCTGAGCTGGCTTCTCCAAGTGAGAGCTGATTGGCTGAATAAATGAGGGGGACAGAATGGGGGTTGCCATGCAGAAAAGTCTCTCTTTCATCTCTCATTTTATCTTCACGAAACTGTACATATACTGTATCTTTGTCTCTCTGTGTATCACTCCCCATCTGTCATTTGCTGTTTTTCTCTTTCTCTATATTTCTGTTCTGTTTTTTCTCTTTCTTCACACATTACTCTTTCGACTCATCTTCTCTTTGCCTTTCTCTTCCAATCAGTCCTCCCATTCCCTTTTCTCCATCTCTCCTCTCACACCCGTCCAAGCAGTTCTCCAGCTGCAGGTGAGTTAGAGGCAGCCCGGAGGAGTTGTTTCAATCAGATGGTTGATTCAGTCGCCTGTCGCTGTCTCAGCTGCTCTCACCAACCCCCTCTCTCCTCCCCGCAAGCTCCTTCCAGACCCCCGGGCCATATGTCTAGCCGCTGCCTTCTCAGCATCAGACCCAATTATTCAGCTGGTTTCCCTCGGCAATCACACCATGATCCTCACTGACCTAACCTGAACTTAAATGTGAGCCCCGCTGCCATGTTCCCATCAGTTGTGTTTGAAGTCAGTTTCATTTTCATTTCAAGTGGCTTACACCAAGTGATGTGATTTTTGAGTTATGTCTCCCCTGCTGTTTTCTTTTTCTGATGCAGTTTAATGTTTCAAATAAAGCTAAAATGCCAAACCAATTAACTTCAATTAAAAACCAGGTTAGAATATGCAACATGTCAGGTCATTCCAGCTTTACGGGAGTAGCCCCAGGCCTGCAGGCTTCCTGCCCCACTGCCCTACTTCTACTGGCTGGTTTCCCCATGTCGGCCCCATGTCTGCCTCGCAATGTCACCCCATAAAAAAAAAAAAACAGACACTGCTCATACACACAGCACAAATTTACATGCATGTGCGCACTTTCTCATAACCTGATTACTGTATAGTTCATACCGCTCCACACAGTGCCAGCCGCTTTTATTTGTCCATAACAGCAGACCCGAGTCCTATGAAAAAAATGGGTCAAGCTGCTTTTGGTGTTTATCTGTGTGCCATGTTAGAAATGATGTGTGTGTGAGGCAGGTGGGGAATCTAACCGCTGGCTGAGCCCAGGTGAGACACACAGATTATTTATAGTGCGTCCTCAAACTGAGTCATATTGATGATTGGGGTCATGAAAGACTCATTACAGCTCTACAGCTTATCTATCCTGTATTGGGGTCACAGATAACATGTGACAGAGTTGACTCTTTCTGACATCTTGCTGTGTTCAGATGTGCTAAATATGGCAACATGCACCAGTCATCTGTAAAATAATATTTTTAAAGACAATAAGGCTGATATTTTATTGAGCCATGTATGGAGTTTCAAAGGGAAAATATACCACAAAATAGACTTTACACGGTGCTATGCCAATAAACAAAAAACAAACACAGACAAATGGATTAAAAGAGTACTTAAACAATTTAGTACTTCTATAAAATGGATGGACTAAAAATCAATAGAAGCTACAGTAAGCGCATTTAGCTCCCTTATGTCTTATTTGTTCAATTTATTAGATTACACGTCAGGTTTTGATGCACTGCAGAATCTAAAATGTATTAAACATTATTGGAAAATCACTAATTCTGTTCAAAATGGAGTTTGCTGTCATGTTGTTGATGTACCTGGTCTCAGGTGAAGGATGTGGGACAGAGATGGTGGGCTCGCTGTCGTGTCTCTTCAACTCCACCTCCACTGTGATCGTCTGCTGATCCTCCTCACGCACACGCAGCTCCTCCTGGGTCCTGAACACAAACATAACATGCATAAAACAACACGCAGAGAGGAAATGAAACACGCACGAAAAACAAACGCAGCCACGTCTTAGCAACAGGAAGAATGGGCCTACTCATAAACACACAGACCTACAGGCTGACCTCACATTTTCTCTTGTACCCACCCACCACACCCAAAAATGTCTAATGCTATGAAAATATGAAGCTGGCAACCCTCAAAAACAGCTCAACCCAGCTAAAAAAGGTTTATGAAGTGAAAGTAGCATTCATACTCCTGACTCACCTGCCGTCGTGGCTCAGAGACTGGGTGTGCCTCCTGGAGACAGAGGACATAGTGTCAGTACAAGCACCCTGGTCTGGGTCTTAAAACCTTGAACTACTACTACCATAATGTGAATTATGTAGTGTGTGTGTGTGTGTGTGTGTGTGTGTGTGTTTGTGTGTGTGTGCGCGTGTGTGTTGGCACCTGTAGCGGGGGTGCTCGGCCGTGTCAGAGGGGGACCTCTCTGGGATGGACAGAGAGGTGGTGGAAGAGAGAGTGGTGGCAATAGAAGCTGTAGTGGCCTCCTCAAAGGATGGAGGAGTACATGGAAGAAGATCTGGTCGCCCTGGAGGAGAGCGAGGAGACACACATACACATTATTATATTTATCTTTGACGGAGCAAGTACCTGTTAATTTTCTATTTTTTTGCAACGATGTTCTGCTTGTGTAGCCTTTTGTTTCCCATGGCAACAGCTATAAGCTTGCTGTTTGTCGAGGGTTGGAACGATCAATAGTGTTCTTGTTTACAAAAGGAGACTGTGAAACATTTTCATGTCATTAAAAGTTGCCTGCGTTCAAAGTCGAAACTCTCTAACCCCTGACAATACTCCACAATGGTTGGCAGATGGAAAATTCTGGTAAAAATCTGCATCTGTTCCTATTATCTGTGTCTGGTTATCTTGGGTTAGGTCACTGCATTGCAGCACTGTATGCAGGTGTTATTTACCCTCGTCCTCCAGCGTTGGGAAGCTGCGAGCTCCTCTCAGGTCGTAGATATTCTCGTCTCTCTCAGAGGGCAGCTGGCTAGCTGACCAGGCTGCACCAGGACCAGCGCATTTAGGCACCGACAACGACACGCGACCCTTCTTGGATGGAGATGACTTTAGAGCTGAGGGACACATTTACACATTAAAGAAAATGTGGATGTGTGATATGGCATATAGTGCTGTCAAAATAAAAGATTAAGCCTAAATACTAACTAAAAGGTTTAAAAATGATTTGTCCTCCTGCTACATTCCACAAGAATTATTTCTCAGTATGTGAAAATCAAAGGAAAGGGATGAAAAAGAAAACTGCACAAGGATCTAATTGATGTTAAACTCGCATATGACATGAAACAGCACCTAATAAGGCAGTTAGCTACTGTATCTGATTTTCCTGTCAAGGCTCGGCAGTAAAAGAGAAAAGCCTGGCATCTGACATTTGCGTCTTTCTGACTATGTAAGGCAGTGTCTTCACATAAATTGAACTCACAGGAGCTCTTCTTGAAAACCATGCTGCTCATGAACTTGAAGAACCTATCTGCATAGAAGCCTGGCCGGTGGACTGATACAGTGTCCTGAGGGAGAGACGGAGAGATTAATGAGACAAACAGTGCATGAATAAAATGATCAAAACAGCACTCGCAGTAGATTAAACTGTCCCTTTAGTGCCCTTTTTCAGTTATGTTTTTTTCTCTGGGTCAAACCACCAGACAGAAGGCATACAATAAAAGACTAATGATAGACAGAAACACGGTCAGACAAGGCTACAGACACGTCTCTTCATTATTTATGTTGCAGCAGACTCAGATCACTCTACCAGCAGACTGACAGATGACACTTGGTGTTTGGTTTAGACTAACAGGGGGATGGTGAAAGCTGAAGAAGTGAAGGAACAGCAGCTCGCTTATTATTAGCTTTTTGCATCTGCATCACCGGACTTCACTATGAGTAACATCTTTGAAAGCATTCACCTAACTGAGCCAGCAGTGTGTAACAAAGAGAGAGTAAGGAGTGTCCATTATCATCAGCAACAGTGACACACAGGAGGCTGTTGTAGGGGTTTCAGAGTGGGAGAGAGTGTGGAGTGAGTAAGGAGAGAGATTATTGATAGGACTGATTCTATCCTGAGAACAATCTGCAGAGACCTCTTTTCTTCTTATTATTTTGCTGTGTTCAGGATGTTTCTGGGCGTCAAACTTTGGGCAGCGCGCAGCGTCTGAGGTCGGGACTCTATAAAAAAACGTAGCGACAGTCTGTGTCTGTTTGGCTGAGGGTGGGGCTGAACCACACACATGGAGCAGAGGGCACAGCGGACAGGATGACGCTTTGGCTGCATTCACACAAAAACCCAGCAATGTGGCTTCTTTCCGCAGGATTGTGCAGAGGTGTGGCTCTGTTTATTTGTGTTTTAGAGCGTAACCGACAGAAAAATAACACTTTTTAATAACTCCCTCTCTTCATTCACTCTCTAGCTAGCTCGACACACAGCTGTTCTCACTCTCCTAGAGCCAGGGAAGAAGGGCCATCTTTGAATTATATGTTTACAAACAGTAACCAACAAACCTTACTCATTATGCTTTTCAACAGTGAAATCAGACCTGGCAGCACACAATATGTAATGTTGTGTAGGCTGGTATGAGCTGCTGATCTTCATGGCTCCGGCCTTATTTATTTATTGAAGTATACTAAAAATGAATGTGGTCCAGACACATTTCAAAATACTCAAAGAGAAAGAAACCAAATTCATATAAAGAGTACAGAAATATGTTTGTTCATGTCATCAGACAACAGACAACACTGTGTCTCTCTCTCTGTTATTCACAAAAGCTGATTTACTGTAAGATGAGCAAAATTCAGTAATGGCTAATCTTCATGACAATGACAGAAAACAATGAAAATGAATGTGTATGGAGTAAACAGCTATATTAAAATATTAGCTCAATATAAGACAGCTGTGGCTGGCATATAATTCACATTTGAGTAATCTGCAGCTCTGCTTGAAGCTGACTTCTAATAAGTTTTAATACACAATGCACACACAGAGAAGTTAATGTGTCTGAATAAACCTGTGTGCTGTAAGTTCTTCAATAACAGAACTACTGGGCCAGGAGGATATTATACAGTTAAATACACAGTTTTAGCCATGCAGGTTGAAAGACAGAGAAAAGCTGATAGGAAATACACACAGAAAGACAGACTGTTCTTCAAAACGCCAATCAAGATGTCTGCTAAACTTAAAGCTAATAAATGTCAAACAAAAAAAGCTTGAGGCTATTGTTTAATGGGGTCTGGTACTCTCAACTTGATGTAAACAAAATCAGTCATGAGTCTGGATAATGTGATAATACAAAATAAGATGGAGAGAGACAAAAAAACATTTTTTGTGACCTGATTAGAAAAAAGTCAGTGTGCTTTGCTGATATATATATTGACTATAAACTCCTGTGTGAGAGTGTATACTTTATGTTTCTGCTCTATATAAAAAAGCTATTAAAAACTCACCCCGTCATGAACCAAAGCCTTCCACGTGTGCTCCAGTTTCTTGATTAGCCTGCAGAAACAAAGAGGAGCCCAATTTAACACAGTGATGTTAAACATGTCTTACATATTAGGGCCACAGGCAAATGAATATAAGCACCATGCCTGTGAGCTGCGGACCTTAAATGTGCTGTCAGAAGTGATTAAGTTGTTTCAGTGCATGAGTAAACTGTATGTATCTACATATAATTAGTTATTTGACTTCCATCTCCAGCCTGTGTCACACTGTCACACACACCGATCAGCCATAACATTTAGAGCACTGACAGGTAAAGTGAATAACACTGATTATCTGGTTATCATGGCACCTGTCAGTAGGTGGGATATATTAGGCAGCAAGTGAACATTTTGTCCTTAAGTTGATGTGTTAGTAGCAGGAAAAATGGGCAGCCTGAGGATTTGAGCGACTTTGACAAGGGCCAAATTGTGATGGCTAGACGACTGGGTCAGAGCATCTCTGCAGCTCTTGTGGGGTGTTCCGGTATGACCACCAGGTTGCCCAAGGGGTCATAATGTTATGGCTGATCGGTATATGTAGCTGATGACCAGTAGTGACGTGTAATCACGTACATAGACTACTACAATATTCACCTGTAGGATTGCAGGATGTCGATGATTCCGATGTAAAGAAGAAGTCTCTCTCCTTTTCCATTCACAGCCGGGATGCCGCCCATCCTAAAATGAGAAGCAAAATAAAACTGAAATAAAAAGTTCAACAGGTGTGTGCATTTGGATGTACAGTCAACACTTCTTGCAGGCAACTCTGTCTGTGTAGAAAACAGATTGAGACTTTTATTATGAAGCAGCTGCAGGCCTTTTTCAGCATTTCTAATTATTCAATATAACATTTTTTGTCTCTATGCTGTCTCAAGCTAAGTACCATCTAATCAACTGCATTCATTGAATAGTGGAGATCATAAGTCCCAACTAGATAGCTCGACTTAAAGCCAGCATTTATCTGGTTTAAATGACTGTAAAAGGGAACTACAGCTTTACAGTGAAGGTGCTGATACACCACTACTGAATCTTCTAAACTACAGACAAATGTTGTCTCTGTGCAATCCTGCAATCTAATGTTTGAGAATCTAATGGTGAAGGCCATTTCTATTTATTTTAGCTAAAATATGAAAAGAAAATTAAGATGTTTTTATTTGTAGTCTATTTGTAAGTCCTGCTATTTAATCTTACTTAGACTACAACAACTTCTGTTACTTCAGCCACAGTCATAAGTGTCTAAATGTCACAGGTAGCAGGTTTTGGCCTCTAGCCAAGCTTTAAACCTTTTATTCCACACTGAGCACAGCCTGAGATCTTCTGGCACTACTGACTGTTTGGTGGGTAAATCTCAAGTTTGCCCTCAGGGTCACTTGAACTTATTTCAGTGTGACTTTTTAAATCTTTTCTCAAGTCTTGTTCTATAAGTGTGTTATCTTTTAATATTTAGAAGATTATATTCTCTGAAGGAATGTTTGCCCACTTGCGCTGAAAATTGCAGGTGTTAAGAACATAATCAGGTTAAATTGTTTGCTTATGAAATATTGTGTGGGGGCTGCAGTTTAAATTGTCAGTTGCAGCACTGAAGTGGTTTGGAGTGTCAGTTTCAGATAAAGTGTAGAGAGGAAATTGATTAATAAGAGTTTGAGTAAGCTTTTTTGAGAAGAGTTGAAGAGCTGTAGCAGTTGAACTGAGAAGAAGTGTAGTAGTGGAGGAGGTGTAATGGATAAAAGCAAGTGTTTATTATTGTTTGTATTATTTATATTCCACTTTATTTATCATAAACACGGCATGAACTGACCCCTTTTTAAGTGCCAGCAGTCACATTTATTGCACAACTCCTACGCCAATAGCCTCTTGCCTCTCTGGCTAAACTCACGTGTCGTCAGTGTCGATGGACCCCCCGCAGGCGGCTCCTCCCTGGATGGACTCCATGGCTGTGGAGTACAGGGCCTTCTGCTGGGCCACGGGCCTCTTCTCATCGCTGCCGCCCTGGGAGCCCTCCATCTGTCTCTCCCTCTCCGCCTGGTCCATGTTGTGAACCCCAAGCAGCAGACTGTAGTCCATGATCTTAAAGCTCTCCAGCACCTGAGGAAAAAGGACAAACAGGTGTGCAGTGATTGACAGACACGTGACATATAAATCAAGGTGAAAGCTTTTATCTCGAGTGCACAACAGTGTGAGCACCAGAGGGAATGAGAGCTGTAATACTGACGATGTTAATGCTATACAGAAGACACTGAGCTATACACAGTCATGCACAGCATGCACACATTAATAAACAATGTATAAGATAGCCAGTGTGTGCACACATACTCCCTTCCAAGCACCTGCACTATAAAAGTAAACGTGAGGTGGTGATTTACAAGAAGAGGACAGGGCTGCTAGCAGACCAGACACCTTGTTAAACCTCTTGCTCATAACAAAGCTCTAATTTATAGTGAGGGATCCTGGGAACGCCAAACATTCTCATAAATAGCTGTCTATTGTCTTTCGCTGCCTTCTTCACTCCCGCCCCCCTCCTTCCACTATCCTCTATTATTAATCATAAATCATAACTCTTATCCATTTCATTTTGTGGACTTTTTACTCTACTACTTTCTACTCTTTTGTGGACTTTCTACTCCCTCTTTTCCCTTGAGATGCTGCATTACAGTGTCCTTTTATCCTTCCTTCCATCATCCCTCTAATCCTTCCTTCTAACCATTACTGCCATTCTCTCTTTCTCTGGAGGACCTCTCTGGAGACTCTCAGGGTGTTATATGGATCCTCCTTCAGAATCTGTAAATGGTCCTCACCGTCTCCCCCTACAGTGGTTCTCTTTCTTTCCTTCCTGCTATCTCAAAATAAATATGCTCTCCATCTAACTCACCAGGCAGTCTCTCTGTAAGGTCTTGACCAGTGCGTTGTAAGTGTCCTGGTCCAGCATCAGTCCGTCCTGCAGATCTTGCATGAAGTCCAGGTCTTTGAAAGTGGGCCTGGCCTTCTCTCTTTCCTTCTTGGATGCTCGCCTCTTGTAGGTGGAGCCCTTCAGGTCGTATTTAAGGTGCATGCGAACGACGCGGGGAAGGACGTTGTTCATCACCACCACACGGATGTTCTTCCCGCCAGACTGGACACAGTAGAGGCCGAAAAACTTGGGCAGCAAAGTGCGAGGGTTCTGATTCAAGTTCTGGAGAAGAGAGCAAAAGTGAAAACATCTTTAAAGGTCTCATACATTTGGTTTCTGCCGCTGTGCTTTGACAAGCTGTTGAGGCAGGACTGAACATAAGAGGGAATTGGTTTGAGGAGTTTATTTAGACATTTGTGTGGGGAAAGGTTGGCTGGGTCACCACAAAATATATGATTCACATTTTACAAGGTTAAATCTTAATAAATGAGGAAAATATGTGCCAAATAGTAGTAATAGTTTACCACACTTCACGGAAGGAGAAAAGGTTGGCACCTTAAGGAAAATATTGTAATATATTACAGGAAAATACAACACACCCAGGAATATTAGGGATAAAAATACAAAGCAGTACATGAGCAGTAGGATAGGTTATAAATGTCCTGCAAATAGTTAATTGATAAACATAACACAATTGTCAGTGTAAACATACTTTGGCTACAGTTCACACCAGGAGGCCTTACATAACGAACACAAATCAGGATTTTTCTTACAGTGCAATGAAACATGGAAGTGCTCAGACGCAAACTGTGATTACAGTTCTGTCTCATCTGGGTACAATCCAGCCACAGAGTATCTAACTAGAATTAAACAGGGACTGCAGGGAAAGTAGTGGAGGCTTAGTATAACAACCCAATCTAAATTTAAGAGTTGAGCAGTGGAAAAACATGCCTCATACGTGTTATACATGCACTGTGGGGGCAACTGATATCCTCTAGGATAGGTAATTGTGACAGGCATTTTTACCTATTTACCTACAAACAACATATACAATACAATAATGACAGTGGCACCCTGTAGGAATGAAGTGCAACAGAAATTACTAAAACTTTATCTAAGAAGACACCTAATGCTCTCCTAATGCTACCAAACTTAACTTTAACATATTTACACAACAAATATTTGAAATAGTGCTTTACATGCTTGTGCTCCAGCAATCTGTGCTCAATATTTCAGTAATCAATCCAAACAAATGAGGTTAAGTCTGAGCTGGGTGCTCAGTTGGAAACCTGCTTTGACCTTGGGACCTGGGCCAGCTCAGTCCCATTAGAGAAGTGAAAGGGAAGAGAAAAAGAAAGACAGAAAGAGAGAGAGAGAAAGAGAGCGCTGTGATCCATATAGTGATAACACACAGCACTGAGAGTAGAAATGATAGAGAGAAAGAGGAACAGAGAGAGGAGAAATGAAGGATGAATATAGAAGTGTTGCTAAAAGGCTCGGCACTTGTAAGGCACTCTGTGAATGACCTTCAGACGAGAGAAACTGGTCGAGAGAGCAGCAAAATGATAGAGAGGCTGCAGACAGAGAGGAGAGAGAGAGAGAGAGAGAGAGAGAAAGAGCATTCTCAGCCCTCAGCCACACACGACCCTTCTGTCAATGTTAAGAGGGCAGAGCAGTGACGACCAACAACACAGACACGTGAGGGAGAGGAGAGAGAGAAGGACAGAGAGCAAATACGAGCATGAAAAAAAAAGGCAAAAAGAGAAAGAGTGGATTAAAACACGAGGCAGAGCGAGAGATGAAGGAAAATAAATTACACTGAGAGTGTCACAGCAGCGGGGAGAGCGATAAGACGTTAAACGTGAGAGAGGGTGGAAAGCCTAGGCATGTTATAGAAGGACCGAATACACAGAAGGGAGAGAAGTGGCAGCAGTGGAGTTGGTTACATCACTGTTATCTGTATGCTGCCCAGAGCCAGACTCCTCAGCCAGCCCACTACCATCAGCCAGTCAGCTGTTCAAGACATGCAAAGCTCCACCAATGAGTGTCTGCGTGTTGCCTGTTATGTTTGCTACAAATACAGCTGAGCTTGTGCATCTGAAACTACATTTTTCTGCTACATGTCAAGTGGTTTGCTGTTTTTTATTTTGTTCTTCACATCTCTAGGTTGATGTTTCTGTGATTCTAAAAATTGTATCCATCAACATTATGTTTTATGTGGTTTTTACGCTGTGTTATCTATGTAAATGCTCTCTGTCCTTCACAGGTTTTGATTTGCCTATCTAGAACCTTTGCTATTCTGTTTGCTTCCCTGAGTCTACCTGCTCTGGCCCAAATCTTTCTACCTTCATTAAAACTCTTTCTTAGACCAATCACACCAACAAAAATGCTTCAAAGCACACCCAAAATGACGGAAAAGGTCACAGTAAATGTACTGAGCCTTTAAAGTCCCTAAATGATTAAATGAATTCTTGCAGTGGTCTTTGGCCATGGCTGTCGGCACATGAATAAACACAAGGCTACAGGCCGTGAACCTTAAACAGGCTGGAATGGTAGCATGGACATACATGGTGCTGTTGCTGGTTGAGTTAATTCAGAATGAGCCTGCAGACTGTGGCGAGGGTGGGAGGGGGTACTGTTGAAATACACCGGCTAGTCTCTTATGAAACCGTATGGCCAGGGTTTTCAGTCCCAGATCAAAGCACTGTTATGTCTGCTTTAATACAAAAAGGATGTCACGCTTCCAGGGTCTTACATAAACCTGAGATCTAAAAATATGACTCAAAATAAGAGCTGCACGTGTGAGTGATAAATTTGAACACTGACAGGCTTCTCCACCGTGTGTACAGCGCGTATGAATCTGTGTGTTCACAACATGTGCATGTGTCTTAATAACTGGATAGTATCAAGACAGGCTCATTGTTTTGTTTGAGCGTGTATATTTGCACGCATGAGCAGAATTTATTCACCATGCATTACCCTGCATGTGTGATGCCTACCGTGAAGGGGAACAGGGGGAAAACTACCGTAGCTGAAAGCAAGTGTTAAGGCTCACTAGGCCGGCTTATTTGATTTCCAGTTTAGTTTTTATCCAACTCTGACGTACCCCGCAGTTTTTGTCACACACACTTACCATGTAGTATCCAGGCAGCAGTTTCTGTAAGAATTCAGCCTCTTTGTGCATCACAGTCTTGATGATGAACTCGTCGTCTTTTGTAAGGTAGAAGACAGAGCCACTCGCTCCAGGATTGGACAGCTCGATCAGAGGCTCATTACATAGGGAGTACTGCAGAGGAGAAATACGGATTAGTATTAGAAATAGTGAAAAATAATAGAAACAGCATTTTCTGATTACCTTAACCCAAATAAAGTCATGGTTAGAAAATCGGTAAAAATTTTAATGTATAACATTTCATTGATATTAGAATTTAATCAAACTATGGCTAACATAGTCTTTGTGGAAAAGTTAATCCACTCTGGCATCACATCACCTCACCTCTTCTGGAAAGAGTTTTAATTAAGAAAAATGGAACAAGTACCGATTTTCCACCTTGTTTCCTGGAAAACTGACTGTGTTAATTCGCTGCCATTTTAATCTAATTGTGCATAACAAACAAACCACAAAAAAAAAAAAAACGAATAGAGGAAAGCAACAAGAGTAGAGTGAACAGGTAAAGAACTCAAAAATTGAAGGGGGAATAGTCATGATTAATGTGGCTCTTGTACATAGAAAGTAAACCAGAACTTAGCAGGGTTCTCTAAGCAGTCCATGTGAACAGCTAAGGAGAAAAATATTTTTGATTACAGCAGTTAAATAGTAACTTTTTATCTCCTTTATATAACCCCTCTCATAACTCCTTTTGATAACAAGTTAATTAAGTACTCAGATACATCGATTTAGAATTGCACTCCTATGACATTGTGGACATTTTTTTTAAACAAAAAAAATGAATGCAGCAGAAACAGATCTCTGTTAAGGCTCACTAGGCCACCTTATTTGCAGCGGCTAATGTAGCCTCCAGCTGCTAGCCTTGACCGGTGGACTTCTCCTTGAAGTCAGATTATCATGCTTCAGCTTCTGACTACAAATCCCATGGATCAAATTATGTGAATTGGGAGTCACCTCCAGTGCTGACAATTAGCTCCTTTCAAAAACACTGGCGATCAACAGCCTGTTGAGACACATTTCACTATGAAATACTTCTTAAGACCAATAAAATAACTCATCACGTAGAGACACGCAGACACACACAAACACATGTTACGGTTTAATTGATGATTAAGAAATAATGGTACGAAGTAGATAAAGATTGTGAGTGAGAGAGAAGAAGTAAATTACAGCCGCAGTAGAGCAGAGGCAGCTGTAGATGTCAAATAATGACTGCTTTGAAATTTTAGCTTTGTTAACACACAAATCAGACTCCTGTTGATGTTATGATTAGCTCAGCTTATTAGCCCATTTGCTCTCTTGGCTGCTTAAAAGCAAGTAGTCATTGTTTTATATGAAGGTGAAGCTGCCCCCACCTATTATAGGTCAAACATCCCTCTCTGAAGAGCCTGTTATTTAATTTCATGACTTTTTTTTCAATGGCTGAACAGTTCATACCAAAAACCTTTAAAATTGGTCTTTTTGCAAGTTGGTGACAAAATGTCTCCAGATGACTTGGACATGTGTGGACATATGGTGATGAGTGACCACAGGCTGGCTCAGAAGAGATGGCAGAAACAAGGCAGGATGTTTCCACGTGGCCGGAGAGCCGATGCATTAAAGATATGTGCACGTGGAACACGGAGAAACACTGACTAAGCAGTGTATGTATATTCTGCTAGACTCCTCTGGGCAGAGCGGTGAATCATTCAGCCTCCAGGTCCTCCACACTGATGAGGGGTGACAAGCTGCAGACCTTCCTTCCCTTCTCTTCTACCATCCTCTCTCCTCGCCTCTGCCCTCTCTTGTGCTTCTCATCCACAGTTCTCATCTTTAACTCTTTGTGTTTCATTGTGTTTTCCTGATCTTGCCTCCCTTTCTTCGTAAAATCTCTCTTACTTCACTTTGTACCATAAATAGATCCAATCGTCTTATTAATTTAGGACCACAGATGATACAGCTATGAGTGAGTCAAATCTTACCAGGTAGTCATCTGGCCTGATGCCAAATAATTCTCTGAAGTAGCGGAAGGCCACAGGAGCGTATGTTTTAAAGCGGAAGTCCGGGAAATGGTGGGCTGGAGTGAGGTTGCTGCCTTCACTAAAGTACAGAAAAATATCAGAGCACATAAGATGTTAGTAATCAAATTCAAATTTTTCAAATTTTTGTGCACTGGAATTACACTGCATGTGGTTGCCGTGGAGACCTGGGAAAAAAGATGCTCTCCACCACGTAGAAGTCCTGCATCAACACATCTCTCTCAGGCTTGGAGCTCAGGTTGCCCACCGTGTAACCGATGCCCAGCTGGATGGCACCTTTCAAGGCTGAGGATGTGGTCTGTGGAGAGAGGGGTGAGGGGAGGCAGAGGGAGATGTGGTGAGAGAAATACTTGCCCCTTCTTTGACCCTCACTGTTAATTAACTGTCCTATTCTGAGTTGGATAAAATCATTTATGCAAAAAAGACAAACAGTACGTGTTTTTTGGGTAAAATTAAGTCCCAGGTCTTGACATGTTCAGAACAAGAAGATACATCATGGCTCAGGCATGTGCTGTCTACTGTACCTTCTTGTAAGTAGTTTCCCCTGATGCATCCACCCCTCTGTGGCCAATCTTCTTTCCCTGACCAGGCTGGCCTGAGGAAGAGGGCATCTGATGAGAAAAAGAGGGAAAGAGACCTTAAAGCATTATAGGGAAAGGAAGGTTTGCACCCGTTTATTAACATTGATTATTGAATATGAAATACTGGGGATTGAAACAGTATTAATGCATGAGATCAATCCTTAATCAATCTCAAACTGTGCATAGCATGAGGTCTGATAGCACAGTTTGTAATTTCATCTGATTCAGAAACTATCTCAACGGGAGAAGCTGCAGCAGCGGACAACGGACATCCAACGTAAATATTTCTGGTGCTGTTCACAGAGCTTTTCGGTTTAAATTGGCATTTAATAAGAACTGAATGTCCTCAGCAGACTCAAATTAAACAAATAACGCAATACTTCTGTTTGCCGTAGCTTACAATAGAGTAGCTGCAGTGCCAGATGGATGGGATTACCAAATTAGGAGGATTAACATAATGTGAGCCAAGTTGTGTGGCAAAGACAAGGAATAGTTAAGTGATATTTAAATACTTTGTTTAACTACATTTTCTGGTACACTGTAGTCTCCATGCACCAAGTGAGGAAAAGTATGTACAGCAAATATTCATTAAGCCAAATATTTAATTGCCCGACATCCTCAGATGAAACCCTTGTAAGGGTTTCATTAGCATCTGACTAAAACCAAAGAACTAGTAGCTATTGATGTGGAGGATCAAAAAGGAACTAAAAGGAGAATTGTTACAGAGCCGGTGATCACAGGGACAGATGGTAGCTCACCTCTGTGATGAAGGCTTTCTTAGCAGCAGCATCTGAGAGAGAGAGAAAGAGAGGAGAGACAGAGATGGCTGTGTTAGTTGCACTGAGGCCGAGAGGCTCCATTACTCAGCATCATTAGTCCTCTCTGTGACAAAGATGAATCCCAAAGGGTGGGCACAGCAGTCCAACATTATGTAATAACAGTGTCAAACACAAGTAGGGGCCTGTCAGCTAGAGGAACTGCAGGAAACAGTAACATCAGCTACAAGGGCACCAAGTCCTTTTTGAAGCCCTCTGTACAGCGTGTGAGATTTCATGCATTTGCTAGCAGCAACAGCAATGTCGGTCTGCCTGTGGGTGAAATATTGTACAGACGTTCATGTCCACCTCAGGATGAATTCTGATAACTTTGGCAAATCTAACTTTTCACCTAGCGCCACCATCAGGTCTGGCTTTCAGTTTATCCCACGCTTTTGTTTATGACCAATACACTGCAAAACTAATTCCCATGAGTCTTAGTGGTACTTTGTGACAAAGACAGTATACGTAGTAAACAATATAACAACTATACCGGCTAAACATCATGTTTGGTCATTGTGAGCATGTTAGCATGCTGACATTAGCATTTAGTCCAAAGCACCACTTTACTTAAGTACAGACTCATCTACAGCCTTGTCTTGTTTTGACTTGTTGAATTAATTAACATTATAAATACCAGTATGCCTGGCAAGTAAAAGTCACATTTTAAGTCAAATGTAAAGTGTTAAACATAAATAAATAAAGGCTCATTACTCGTGACTGAAAAAAGCTCAGACACAATTAAATCTGCTATGAGTTTGTTGGAGTGGGAGTAAACACGCTTACACTCTTTAGCAAGGCTAATACTATCTACACTGAAACATGCTTCACAAAAAAACAAATGCAAACGACACGCATTACTTATCACAGTCTAGAAAAGCACAACAGTCTTACATCCTGCTATAGTGTGATACTTTTTAACTAATAACAGGACGTAGGCAGTAGAGAAAGGCAATCAGAGGACTGTTTTCACCAGGAAGGCCTGAAATAGATGCATAATTATAGATGTATAACATTCAGCATACTAATGGAGAGAGGGTTCAGGAGGGCATGAAAGAGAGAACACAAAATGAGCAAATGAAATAGAGGAAGAATAGAGAGAGAGAGGGGATGAGACACAGCTTCAGACAGCATAAGAGAGAGGCTGATTGATTCACTCAGTGCTCATCATAATCATCATAACCAATATTCCACACAGATGGAATTTATTGAGAAACTGCATATGTTTTAACAACAGCAACACTCATCTGATATGAATAAATAAATGAAGATTTAAATGTCACTGATGAGATAAAATAATCTTAATTTGCCAGACACTTTAGACAGTCTTGTTTTATTTATGTAACTACTTCGGTACTTGGCGGGGTAAGAAAGATTTAGTTGATATATACCATTGTTTTATCTGATATATGTATACTGTATATATATAGTCTTGATTTTTGATGAATAGAGGTGCTTTTATTCCTCACTGCTGCATCAACAATGGCTCTATTCTATTCAAGTGTAAGTGTAAGAGTGTAAGACATGACATTTTATTATTTACACCTGTGGTGTCTTCAGTGAAAACTGTGTATTCCCCCTGTAGAACAAACATCAAGATCCAAGCAGGTGTAGCTTAGGGGAAGACTTAGGGGACACAGCAGCAGGAATAAAAGCCAACTCAGGGAGTCAACTGTATGATTTAATTGTGTAAATGGTTACTCACAGCTCACGGGTCAGAGACATAGGGTTATTTTAGCATTCAATTCACTGGCTATGGTTGGTTCAAAATGGGTGCTTTTCTGCCTTTAACTGCTGACTGTTGGGGAAAATTTTATGTCTGTAAGTGTGTGCAGTGTGCAATCTGTGTATGGGACTGTGTAGACCTGTATGGTCTACACAGTCAGTCATGTAACGTCTAACTAATGCTTGTGAAAGTAAATTATAGCTAGCGGTTATTTATTAATTAATATTAATATGAACAGTATAACTATTATTATATTTACTTTGTTTGGGAAAAAAGAACCTGCTTCCTCCGGCTACAATACACTTTTTTTTTTACTGTTTTGACTTCATACATCATAAAGTACAGGTGGAAATAATAACAACGACGGCTTTGTTCCATTAAATGTCCCAATAAGCTATTTACAGTGAGCCAGCATGCACAATACCATGACCTCTTTTTAGTGGAATCCAGCCATCATAAATATTACTTAATACACCTGTGCTTCTCCCGCTATGACATGTTGCGAAAAAGGGTAATTTACCCCAATTGACACTGTTTTGTGTTGAAGTGCCTTTAAGCAAGATGATGTTTGTCCCTAACATATTCTGACATATGAGCTATAATTAAACAGTTCACAACAGGCCATATAAGAATGACAGAAACATTACTTTCTGCCTGTAATCTTTGGAGACTCCAACCACTAGTTGAGACACTAACAGCAAACCTATATAACCCAGTGTCACTCAGGAGGGGCACATCATCTTCACAGCTTGACTCTGTTTGCAGCACAACTGATAGCCAGCCTCTCCAGTCTCTGTGCGCCTGCCTGCCTGGCTGGCTCTCGTGGATGCCCATGTGACTGAGCAACAGAATAGCCTGTTTGCCTCCCCTCCTCCTGCTCGTCTCTCTATCGCTATCTCAGTCACACACACACACATTTGCACTGGGATGAGCAAGCCAAAGCGTGCCAATGCAATCCCGGCAACGCTCCCAACAAGCTGGAACATCCAGGGAATAAAATGTGAGAAAAAAAAAAACCTGCTGGTGAAGGAATGTTTGCAATGCAGATAATTAAAGAGGAGGCTCTCCTGCTTTTTACCATGCTGTACTATTTATTTGAGCCTGTAGTTCCAAGCGTGTGAATGCCTGTGATCGGTATGGTTCTTTCACATCTCTTCTGTCATTTGCCTGTTCCCTATGCGTATTCATGTGTGTTTGTCTGTATGTCATGTATCTTATTTCCGCCGCATCCCTTCTTTTTTTTACATGCCTGCACCTGCTACGACTGCCCTCAGAGTGTGTATGCATGCGTAGGTATGTGTGAGGGCGTAGGTATGTGTGAGTGTGTGACTGTTAGCTGAGCCTACAGATTTTAAGGCACAGTGTTTGTGCAGTCAAGTCCGCCTGAGCCAGTCTGTGTGTGTCTAAGCATGTGATCCATCACTCCTCGCTCAACTCGAAGCGAACTACCACCAGGACAGTTTAACCACAACACAGTTAGCTGATACAAAAACATTATGCTTTATATTGTATTAAAGGACCAGTGTGTGAGATTTAGTAGCAACTAGCGGTGTAGGTGCAAATTACAACCCCCTCGTGTCACCCTCCCGTTCCAAACGTGTGGGACAAACTACAGTCGGCACGAAACGTCAAAGGCCCTATCTAGAGCCAGTGTTTTGTTTGTCCGTTCTGGGCTACTGTAGGAAGATGGTGATTCAACATGACAGCCTCCGTAGAAGAGGGAACGCTCCCTCTGTAGATAAAAACATCTCATTCTAAGGTAACGAAAATAATTCTTATTTTCAGGTGATCATATACAAATGAAAACATACCTATGAATATCATATTCCATTTCTGCCAGTAGACCCTCCTAAAAGCTTCACACCGGACCTTTAATACAATTACTAATAGCCTTAAACATTATGATTATACTGTTGTTATCATGTCTCCAAATATTTCAGAGCAGTAATTATTTGGCCTTTAGATGAAAAAATACATTGTGGACTGTACGAGATATTTAGACATAGATATTTTATTTGTTTCATCTGAGGTCCATTGTGCATATAAGACTTTTTGCAACCAAAAACATCCGTAAACCATAAATCTATCATATATCTGAATCTTTAATCCAAAATCATGATTTCATTTTGTGGATTTACATAATATATTCTAATATTCACCATTATTCCTGTCCTCAGAAGCATGAAATACAACACCATTACAATTAATACATTAAATTATGGGATGGTTCTTGAAAGAGAACATATGTGTAAAAGCTCAAGCAGCGCAGAACTACATTTACATTTTAGCCATTTAGTGTCTGTTTATGCCAGACTGAAATGTAATTGTATTATAATTATAAGCAACCAACTGTGGTGTGAGGGACAAAACCATGATGCCCTGCTGCTATTCCTGTAGACATTAAGATGATGAGAGTATGTTACAGTGTACAGAGGAAATACAGAGGAAGGAGTTATGATAGGGGATGTGATGGGAGAGAACAGTGGGGCTTTCATAAAGTATGAAGGGCTAAAAGTCATTTTATCTGTGATAACCTCAACACTTGAGAAGGGCATTACAGAAATAAGTACATTAAAGTTATATTTGTAAATAAAGAAATCACCTGACCTGCCATTAACAAATCTATTTAATTCAATTTTAGGATATAAATAGATTTTTTTAACCATATTTCATGGTGACTTTCCTGTAAAAACTGTGTGAAAAATAGAGGTGCGCAGTTAATTGCAATATTATCAAAATCACAATATGGTCAAATGCAATATCCAAATCACAGAAGCTGCCATTTTTTGATAAAGGTAGTGAAAAACATCGAAAAACATCCCTCTACCCAGGACCACAGGAGTCTGGTGTGATAATATTTTATCAGTAATAAAAATCCCTTCACTTATTTCTAACTGGTACCCAAGTGATTCCATCCTGACAATGTAAAGAGGCTTCAGAATGAGGACATGAAGTAAAATAGGTCTTACTCCACTGTTGCGCTGAAGCAGCAATCTGTAGGGTTCTGCAGGGGATGGAACAACAAATAGACCCATCCGAATAAATTGCTTCTGGCTGAGACTGTTGCCTAGCTGGACTGCTATGTGTTGGTTTAATGGCCCACTCATACAACCCTTAAGAGAGTGGTCCATTACCAGCTGCTGATAGCCACAGGAGGTGAAGCGAGACACAGGCTAATTTACATCATTTTCACACACAAACCCAGTGGTTCACTTATATATGTGTATATATATGATCACATGTTTAACC